GCCTTTTACTTTCCCCTCTTTTTTCCCATAAAAGTATTTCCAAAAAACCTCCATTACTCAGAGAATTTTGAAATGGCAATTGGCTTTATTTTTTGGTTTTATTTTTACTGAGTCAAAAAAATAAGCTACGATTTTTTTGGTTAGAAACAAAGATATCGCGTATACGAAATGCAAATCGCCGAAAAATGTCAAGAATCTCTTTTCGTGGGTCATAAAAAAGTTTTTTTCCTTTCCCCCAAAGCCTTTTTTGCAAAGACTTTTTTGGGCCGCGGCTCTCGTGGAATCACGGCCGAAGGGAAGAGCAAGTCTTTGGCCCCAAAATAAAAGGAAATCCCAAGATTTTCGTAAAAAATAAACTTAAAAACGGATGGGAACCAGTTTCCAATACTTTTTTGGAGGATATGGGTTACAATTTTAGTTGGAACTTGAAATGTAGTGTAGGGAAATAGATGTGAAAAAATATTTTGATACAAAAATTATTGCTTTGAAGCTGTTGATCAGGATTTGGCCGAAATCGTATTTTACAAGGTTTGAGCTTTTCAAAAAATTTTTTTTTTATTTTGATGCTATTTATCCTATTTGGGGACCAAAATAAATCAAAAAAAAGTTGCTTTTCCCTACTTGAGTGACAAAAGAATAAAAAAAAACTTTCTGCGTCTGACGGGAATCGAACCCGTGTCGATTGCTTGGAAGGCAACCATGCTGACCATTACACCACAGACGCTCACGGCGACACTTTTTTAGATTGAAGTCACAGAACAGCGGGATAAAAAAAGGTTCGCGGAAAGAGAGGATAAAGAGCGCAAAGGAAGTTGTCAGGATTTCAACGCAACTCATAAAAACAAATCAAAAAAATGAAAAAAAGAAAAATAACGGAGAGTTATTCTGATTTGTCATCTTTTTTGAATTTCCAATGCCCTGATACGTATTTTACGCAATTATCTTTTTTGTGACAGTTTATATAAACTACTATGCACTAAATTTGTTTTTAAAATACGATTAAAAGACCACAGATTCAAGTTATGCGTTTCTATGCCATAAATGAGATTTTTTGCTCGCGGACTTCGGAAACGACAGGGATTTTTGGGACCAAAAATAAACAGAAATTTGACATTTTTCGGAGAATTTTAGAAGAGCTGAATTTTTTGATTTTTTGAACGCACTTTATAACTTCCATAACTAAAAATTTTTGGCCACAAATCCAGCTTGATAACCCGGAAAAACTTCTTGCCGTTTTTCCTCATTTACCACGGTGTTTGGTCAGTGATTGTTGAATACCTTCGTTATGCCATCAAAGTGCAAGCTATGACTTTCAAAAGTTAATCAGTGGCACATACATACGTTCAAAGTTTGAAACAAACATGAGCATTACACTGAGAGTAGGTGTTGTATAAACCTTACAGATTATATTTAAAAATTTCCTTTTTCTTTAGTTCCTTTTAAAAAGTCTACAAACCCCTTATTGTCACTCCCTCCAATACAACAAACCCTAATCTGCAGGCCGAACAAAACTTTTTCCTTTCCCTTAAAAACATAACAATGCCCACAAAACATGACAAAACACCTCCCCAATCTTTTTCTTGACTTCCAAAAAACCAATTCGAATACATTTTTACTCGGAAATAATCCATTATTCAACACTTGCATTAGTTAGATTAAAAATTTGGGCTCAAAATTGTAAAGTGAACACTAAAAAGTCCTAAAAGTACGGGCGGAATCGTAAAATGGCGAATGATAATTGACAAAGGTTTTATGGGATTTTGAAAGGGTCCATTTCCTGCCCTTAGGGTCTCTAAGAAGACTCTGTAACGATGGTTTTGACACCTCAGGTGGTGATTCAAATTTCCGATTAGATGGCTTGTGATTTGCAAAAAAATTTAAACGTGGAAAAGCAATTGTTTTGGACTTAAAAGGCGCACAATTTAAATTTCAGTTTATAGAGAAAAGTTGACGAAATCTTGATGAAAATTTGGCGCAAATACACATTAAAATTTTCAAAGAACTCATCCATATGTTTACAGTAAGCATTGAATTTATTGGTAGAAAAATTTAGCATATTTTGAAGTTTATGTGCCTCCAAGTTGCCCCTATTTTAAACATCAGTTTGTTGGGAAAATAATGTGGATTAATTGCGTCTTGAAATCGCCTATGACCGCTTTGCGACAGCTATCTGTGAATGCGAAAAGAAGAGAAATTTTACTGCGACAAATCCACATTATTTTTCCGATAGACTGGTATAAGAAGATTGACTAAATTTACCTTAAAAAAAGTTGAAATCATTTTTTCCGCCATCATTTTTCTCTAATTCAAAATGTAATTAAAAGTCTTCCTCCACCCTCCGCAGAAAAAAGAGTTCACAAAAAACAATATGACCCATGACATGCGAAGAACAGAGGGCCCGGATGGGACACACGGAATCCTCCAAGATCCCGCGGAAACTTGCATATTCTCGGAGGAAAAGCCAACAGAACTACAAGCCCGGAACGGCGGCTATTTTTAGTTTCAGATGTTTAATGCGGGATGCTGTTAAAAAGACCGCAGGACACTTCAGATTCCGAATTGCAAATCCCGTCATATTTTATGTTATGTGGAAAGGAAGTATGTATTTCTAAATACGGTATGAAAGACTGGGTGAACACTGGATGAATAGGTTTTCGTTTTTATGTAATGAAAAGGCTCATTAAAGACGACGCCTTTCAGACATCAGTCGGTCGGAAAAATAATGTGGATTTGTCAGAGTAAAATTTCTCGCCTTATCGCAGCAGCACATCAAATTTTACAACTTGAAATCTCCAGCCCCGGCTAGCCCTTGGCTATTTATTATCGGCGATTCCAGGGCGAATCTGCATTATTTTCCCGACAGACTTATATAAGATGCTAAAATTTGCCCAACATTTTGAATACATCTTTTGAACTACTAACGCTTCTGAACGCTCTTTTTTAACGCTCTTTTTTGCAAGTGAGAAAAAATATATTTGCTCTAAAAATTTGTTGTTTATGCAAGGTCAACTTTGTGCAGCAAAATTATGAATGGCGTTTTTGAATTATAAATATTTTCGAGCGGCAATTCGCCAAAAAGCATAATTTGTTTAGACAGCTTCGGTTCAAAAAACTACTGAAAAACGCAGTTGGGAATCTTATATGTAAATGTCTTTTAAAATTATGCAAAATTTAAGTCGACTTTAATCAGAATTTGGTTTTATCCCACGCCAAAAAATTCCATTATTAGTGGTTTTTCCAAACAGCAAGATAGGAAATTTCTGTGTCTAAAAATAGTTCAACCCAAATTTGAAGTAATCCCTATCAACGTTTCAATATCTTTGAGCACGTTCGGATAGTTTGGTATCTACTGCCTTTTTAATTAAGGACATGGCTTATAAAGTCGTATTTTACAACTTGATGACATCGAATAATTTTTCTCTCATACGTATCTCCGTCTCCAAGACTTTTAGTCATCATTTCATCGAATTCATGATGAAATGATGAAACATTGGAGCGTCGTCCAAACTCAGAAGCAGAGAGACAATGCACGGCAACCCAGGGAGTCTCCCGCCTTGTTTCGGCGCTTCGCCCACCTAGTATCGGTTGAATTCAAACGAAATGTCAAAAATGAATTTTTCGTGTGGTTTTCCGACCGAAAAATATTTTTCTCGGAATTATTATATTTCTTTTGTGAATTCTGACACTTCGTTTGGACGAAATTCAAAAATGGGCGGGAGACATTTTTGTTCTATCTTGGGTTGCCGTGCAATGACACTTCCGGCTGACACTTAACCTGGAACTGTTTGAATGACGGCCTTTTCCAGAAACTCTGGAAAATTAAACGACGAGGTTAAACATTTTATCAGGAAATAAGATGACAAAGCTTTATCGATGCACTCAACTTTTTGATGATAAGTATCTATAAAATGAGCAGCATTATATTCTAATCATCGTATTCTGGACGGCTACTGATAAGAGCAGAAAAAAGGAAGCATTTAAATTAGTGCGAATCGTTTAACGCGTAATTGAAACCGCCGTTGGGAGAAGAAACAATATTTTTCGGAAGTTCGGGAAGATTTATCGATGAAACTCGACGATTTTTTAGGGGATTTTCCTGGATATTCTTCCGAGAAAAAGAGCAGAAATCCATGAGCGTCTGTGGTGTAATGGTCAGCATGGTTGCCTTCCAAGCAATCGACACGGGTTCGATTCCCGTCAGACGCAGAAACTTTTTACATTTTTAGGCCACCCAAGTACCAAAAATTAACTTTTTTTTGATTATTTAGGGCTCCGAAAATTACACAGTATCGGAAAAAAATGTACATTTTTTTGATGTTTTTGAAAGGCCCAGAACTTGTAAAACCAAATACTGTTGATCAACAGCTTCAAAGTAATAATTTTTGTATCAAAATATTTAATTTATACGTTGGTCTCGAAACCAAGCGATTTTTTTGCAGTTAAACACAGCCCTTAGGGGTTCAAAATTTATATATATTGTATTCTGTGGTTCACCTTTTGTCATATAAAACATATTACTACAACCCTGTATGAAACATTATATTTATATTCAGTTCTTACAATTAGGGCTGTTCTTTGCGCCTTTTGTCAAAATTTAAATATTCTTTGTAAAACAATGAAGGATCTTGGGTTATGACAATACGGCATTTACTTTTTCGCTATTTTCCGCCTATATCTCTTGGTTTAAAAGTGGAATTCGTTCGTATTTCTACCAGCTGTTTTAGGGAGCATGCTTCGATTCCTCGTATTTATTTTTACCTTCCACTGTTCGACCGCTGCTGTGGTATTGGAAGAAGTTGTGGATCCATTGCAACGAGTCGATTGTGCGCCAATTCCTCTGTCCACCAAGAAGGATTGCCCAAATTATTGTTTATGGGGAGAGGAAAAAGACCAGGCGAGTTTCTCTGGCAATAAAACTTCGGGTTTTCAAAAAAAAATTTTTTTTCCTTATTTTTGCATCGTTACGGAATATGTCGTATTTTAAAACCTGTATATCTTTTATGTTCCAGGAGGACAAAAACGTTCCATATTGTCATTTCCCCACAAATACTGGATACGTTGACGATCCTTTCCCTCCTCCTTTTACCGCAGGTGCTGTTACCACTTACAGACTCCGCCAAAATCCTTATGGAGGCCGGAATCCCTTCGGCTTTGATTCCGAAAAAATTCAGTTTGAAACTGAAGAAATTGGCGATGCCATTCGAATAAAAGTGGGACATAAAGATGCATTCGAACCCAATGTTCCATTCAATAAGCATCCACGAATTGAGTCAGAGGAGAAGCTAATTTTCAAAAAAATCGACGAGTCGATTTTTGTGTTTTCTGTGGAACGAAAATCAAATGGGGCAAGGATTTGGGACACTTCCATCGGTAAGTAGTACCTAAAAGTTATAATTTGGAAAAGAAATTTTTAAAATACGTGTTCAAAAATTTCTGATAACATGTCATCTTTGTTGTGAATTTATACTTTTTCTTCCTGAATATCAGTCTGTCGGGAAAATAACGGCGGATCGTCGCGCCTCGGAATCGCCCATCATCGCTTTGCGACTGCAAGCCGCGGCTTGGGATTTAGTGCGCGACAGCGGCGAGGCGAGACATTTCGCTGCGACAATCCGCCGTTATTTTTCCGACAGACTGATAGTAACTTTATTTCAAGGCTTCCGCTACAAAAATTTTTAGAAAGTGGGTAAAATACGAATTTCCTAATGTGTCCCTCTGAAAATTAAAAAAATAAATTTGGCTAAATCCTTCACGTATCTTGCCCAGCTTAACAAAATGACCCTTCAGGCGGCCTTGTCTTCGGCGAGAAGTACATCCAAATTGCGACCAAACTCCCGACCAAAACAATTTACGGATTCGGTGAACATATCCATCAGACCATCAACCATGACTTCAGCAAGTACAAGACCTACCCTCTCTTTGCCCGAGATCAGCCTCCGCAATCGAACTACGAAAACTATATGAATCTTTATGGAGTCCACAACTTTTATGTTGGGATCGAGCCCGACGGAAAAGCCCATGGAGTTTTCGTCCTCAACTCGAATGCCCAGGAAGTAACCACTGGTCCCGGCCCTCATCTCGTCTACAGAGCCATTGGCGGGAAGTTTGAGATCTTCTTTTTCCCGGGCCCAACGCCCGAAGAAGTGATCCAACAGTACCAACAAGTCATCGGGAAACCTTACCTTCCAGCCTATTGGGCGCTCGGATTCCAACTGTGCAGATATGGATACCTATCGTTGAGGGACATGTCTGACACGCTGAATCGAGTTTTGGCTGCTAAAATACCAATTGACACGATTATCCCGGATATCGATTACATGGAGAGGTACAAGGACTTCACCATTGGGCAGGATGTAAGTTGGAGGGAGGGAAGAATATGAGCTCGTTTTTGATGAAAATGGAAGCTTTATTTTGCAAAACTCGAAAGAACGAAATTACAGTTAGGTCGTAAAAATACCGTAGTTGTAATTTGTGCCTCTCAGGATGTAAGCCGGGGTATTAGAGGGTTTATGGAAACGTAGCTATTCAAGATGTCAAAAGCAATAACATCCGTTTTAGCTCCCATTAGCGTATTTTAAACCCCTTTATTTTTCTAGAGATGGTACAACCTTCCCAACTTTGCCGACGAACTCCACGCCCGTGGCATGCGTCTTACTGTAATCCTGGACCCAGCTGTTCAAGTGGACAATGCCATCTTCGAACGAGCCAAGATAATGAACGCCTCTTTTATTGCTTGGCCTCGCGTAGATTTAGTCCCAGCAAAAATCAATGGTCTTTATACAAATACCAAGGGAACCTGGGACATGTTGGCGGTTGTCTGGCCAGACAAACATGTCGCTTTCCCCGATTTCTTTGACGATTCGAACAAGACTGAGATTTGGTGGATCAAAGAGATCAGCGATTTCCATGGCCGTTTGAAATTCGACGGCCTTTGGATTGACATGAATGAGCCGGCATCATTTGCAACAAATGACAAGCATCCCTGGTACTACGACAACCCCGATCATCCCAACATTGAGCCCTTGTGGTGTCCCACGCAAGGGCCAGACAGTAAATTGGACAATCCGCCGTTCAAAACTCTCGCCGCATATCAATACGGGAAGGATTACCCACTTGCCGGGAATACGTTGTGCATGATCGCCAACACAAATCGAGGGAAAAACAAATTCTTCGATGTGAAAAGTTTGTTTGGCTTCCATGAATCGATCGCAACTTATAATGCCTTGAGGGAATCGAGGAAAAAACGAGGTCAAATTATCAGCAGGAGTACTTTCGCTGGATCCGGTCATTATGCCGGCCACTGGTTGGGCGATAACACGGCAAGATGGGAGGATTTGAGGACGAGTGTGATTGGCGTGCAGGAATTTAATATGTTTGGGATTCCGTTTGTGGGCTCAGACGTCTGTGGATTTGTGGGAAAGACGAATGAAGAGTTGTGCTTGAGATGGCAACAAGTCGGAGCGTTCCACTCATTTTATAGGTGAGATGGGGGCTAAAATATTTACGTGACGGAAAAAAGTGTTTTTATAAAGTAAATATTCACTATGTGAATGTGTGACGAGTGTGACGCTGGATTTTCTTCCATTGCCATTCACAATTTCTACATTCCAATTAAAGAAAAAGTTGCGCTTTGAGGCCATTAGGGGTCGACATATTAAACGAACTTTGGGTACTATTTTCTCGCGCTCTAAAGTCCAGACATATGTCTTTGGTTTAGCTTGCGTAGGGCCCTTATTTTGTTATACCGACAACGAAATCATGAACGTATTTTACCCACAACTTTTTTTCAGAAACCACAACGACAATGAGAGTCCGGCCCAAGACCCAGCAGTCTGGCCATCTGTCGCAAAAGCCACTCGAATTGCCAATGAATATCGTTATCGCCATCTCCCCTATTTATATTCCCTACATTTCCACGTATCGCAAAATGCCGGCACCGTAATCCGACCAGTCGCATTTGAGTTCCCCGAGGATCCAAAAACGCATAATCTCAGTTACCAGTTCATGTGGGGCCCGGCAGTTCTGGTAATCCCGAATCTTTGGCCAAATACCGACAGTGTTGATGGGTACTTGCCCGTTGCAACTGCTTGGTACACTTTTTACGGACTGAATTATGGAAGAAAGAGTAATGGAAGTGGCACGTTTGTTGCGTTGAAGGATAGCACGGCTCCGGCATTCCTGAGGGAAGGATTCATTTTGCCAAGACAGGTGCCGGGGATGAATACAGAAGAGAGCCGGAAGAATAATCTGCAGCTGGTGGCAGGGCTGAAGAAGTTGAGGTGAGTTTTTTGCCGTCGCTAGGAAAATTGGGCTACATTGGCCTCTTCCCTCTACAAGGGAAGTACCCCAAGTGCGACGCTCAGATTTTCTTTAAATTTTGCACACACGTCGGGAATAGACCAATATCAATTCCTGAAAGTTTTAGCTCGCGCTTTGCGGGCGCCGCCGAGATATCGAACGATTTTTGCTGCCGAGAGAGTACACTAAATGTGGAGAGCGGTCAGAGAGAAAGACGCTTTTTGGCCATAACTTCGCTTGCTAGAGAAAATTGATTTTTTGTGGAAACATTATCCTTTACGGTTGAAATATGCATGAAACTTTTCGTGCCAAAATTGTTGCAAAAATTGTCGAATTTTTGCTGACTTTCGATCTAAAAATCTCGCTTGTTTCTGCAAAGCGCAAGCTACGATTCTCGCATATATTTTAGAAAAAATTATTCTAAATTTGTGCCAAGTTTCATCAAAATCTGAGCGTCTCACTTGGGGTACTTCCCCTGTCAGCTTGTCGGAAAAGTATTTTTTACTTCATGTATACGTATTGTCTTTCGTATAATTTTTCCATAAAATTTACAATTTTTTCAGCGATAACCATTTCATTTCACAAGGAGAACTCTACTTCGATGAAGGCGACAACGACGCCTACGTCCATTCAAACGCCGTTGATGGCCGCCGTCTTTATTCTCACTACCACTTCAAGTTCAATATAACAGCAGCCCCAGCCAAGACAACTTTGTTTATCACCTTGGATCACAAGCCAATTCGCGGCGACATCGTTATCCCCCCTATCGAAGAAATCGAAGTCCTGGGGTATCCTTGGAGCATCAATTTTGACAGTTTTGCTGTCAATGGACTGGTTGTCACTGTTTCGAAGCAAGAAAGCAGTTACTCTCCATTCACGGAGATGTTAAGGATCAGACGGAGTGGAGTTGGATTGATCAACTTGAACAATCAAGATGGGAAAGTGCAGAATGTCTGGGAAATCTCGTGGGAGAACCGAGCAAAAAGCAGTGCTCTTTGAAAGATTACTAGCTGAATAAATATTGTATGACGTATTTGACAAGTCCAATAAAACTTTTTGTTAGTGGAAGTGAGATGTTTTTATGTACATTAGCAACAAGTTTTTTGTCGGCAACGTTTCCATAAAAAAATTAATTTTTTCTACGCGAAATTGGCCAAGGCATGGCAAAGAATTTTTAGCGTTTTTCTGTCTTGTCGCTTATTTTCCGCACTCTTTCAATGAAAATGTTCGTTGCATATCTTGATTAACTTGCATAGCGTAAACTAAGATTTTTTGGACGGATATGTGTCCATATAGCCGTAAAAATTTAGAGCAACTTGTAATGTCAGCTCGTGGGACATGTTAGATTTGAAACCATCGTTATCTATTTACATACAGTATCCCCAACAAAAAATTTGGCGAAATATCTTTCCATGATGACTTTTTGAGTTCTCCGAATTCGTCGTAGTTTCTTCGTAGCCTGTTTGGAACCATAATCGCTACAAATTTAAGTTAACGCTTATCTTTCCTAAACTTTGTCATCATTTATCGAAAAGGTCTTCGAAGTCGAAGCAACGAGACAACCACGTTGATATTTGGTGCAGAAAACAAAGTCCACGCTTTACCACGCCCTCAGATCGGCGATTCGTCGCATTTTGTGCTAAAGATTATATTTGATAAGAAGATTAACATTTTTTAATTAGAATATAAAAGAAGTGAACAGAAAAGAAAAGAAAATTCAGTCTAATACCTTTTGTTGACCAAAAATTATCAAAAATTGGGGAAAGCAGTGAAAAATGACACGCGGGATCTTTCTTTTTACTTTCTTTTCTCTTTTTTATCAATGAGAAGTTGGTTTTCAGTTTGATTTTGAGGATTCGGAGAGATTTCCCTTGAAAAAAGAGCTGCAGAAAGCGTGCGTCTGTGGTGTAATGGTCAGCATGGTTGCCTTCCAAGCAATCGACACGGGTTCGATTCCCGTCAGACGCAGAAGAAATTTTTTTGATTATTTCTGAAACGGTTTGATAGAAAACAGTAGAAACATGATCTAGAATCAATTCGTGTCATGTTTGAATTGCTATAAAGAAAGATTTTTTTGGCTTAAGGCATTTATCGTTTTTTTTCTGCGATTTTTTGGTAGATTTAAATTTTTTGGATAAATTAGTGTAAAATTAGTATCAAACGGTGAATTAGGGAAAGTGTAAAATACGCGCGGTACATTGCTGTTTTTGTAAAATACGCCTGCTCAGCCATAACATTGCTTTTTATATGATTCAAAAAAAAAAAAAAATTCAATCTCCCCATGAATATCGGTTGATCCCAAACTTTTTTGTTGATATCAATTCTATACATGCACTTTGCGTTGTCTATACTCCGCCATATTTATTTACTTTCCCTTTTCATTTCAGAGCAATGTTATTGTTCCTCATTCCTCTACTTTTTCTAAACACAATCACTGCCAGACCACCGGATGTAGTCGATGCATTCCAACGGGTTGACTGCGCCCCAATTCCGGGTTCAACGATCAACGAATGTCCGGATTCCTGTTTGTGGGGACCGGAGGATGATAAGGTAAGTTGAAACAAGGAAATACAAAAATTTTATTTTTTTGGAAAAAATTGCTTACTTTGAAAAAAAAGTTTTTGCTAACGAGGGAATCGTAAGCTTGAAAAATATAAACTTTATGCCTCAAAAAATTTGCGTAATTGACATTTTTGTCATTATTTTTTATTTTCCTCACATACGAGTTGCGGTCTCGCAACGAAAACAACCCTTATTGCCGGCCTATATCTAAGGATCTCCCACTCTAAAAGTCACAAAAGTATCCTTTTTTTTTATCTTTTCGATTAAAAATAATTTTCCATTTTTTCAGCAACACCTAAACGTTCCGTACTGCCATTTCCCTTCCAACACTGGTTACAGAGTCTCCAATTATGAAGGTGGCCCATCTAAAGGCACTTATCAGCTTCGTCAGAATCAAGAGGGAGCCAAAAATCCTTTTGGCTACGACACAGAGAATATTCGCTTAGAAAAAGAGGAGATTGGCGCTGGAATCAGGCTCAAGGTTGGGCATCCAGACGCGTTTGAGCCGACGCTGAATTACGAGAAGCATCCGAGTATCATTTCTTCGGATAAATTGACGTTCAGGCCCCTGCCTGGGGACCCATTTACGTTTGTTGTGGAAAGGAAGTCGACTGGGAGAAAAGTTTGGGACACTTCTATTGGTACGTTTTCGAAAAAGAATTTTTTATTTTTGATTAAAGATTTGAAATTTTTAATTTTTGCAAGACTGAAAATTGTCCAAAATTGCTTTAAAATTATGATCCAGTCCTTAACGGGGTCGTTGGACCCATTTTCTGGCCATTTCCAGGGCTGTTACAGAATGCCAATATTGTTGTGGGACCTAGAAGCACTTGAAATTTGATTCAAAATTTTGATGTCTAAGATAACGAGGATTACCACTTTGCCCATAAAATACTTTTCAAGCCTTTTAAAATATAAATAAACCATGTTTAAGGCGGTCTCGTCTTCGGCGAGAAATACATCCAAATCGCGACCAAGCTCCCGACCAAAACAATCTACGGATTCGGTGAACATATCCATCAGACCATCAACCATGACTTCAGTAAATACAAAACATGGCCTCTCTTTTCCCGAGATCAGCCTCCACAATCGAACTACGAAAACTATATGAATCTTTATGGAGTCCACAACTTTTATGTTGGGATTGAACCCGACGGAAAAGCCCATGGAGTTTTTGTCCTCAACTCGAATGCCCAGGAAGTAACCACCGGTCCCGGCCCTCATCTCGTCTACAGAGCCATTGGCGGGAAGTTTGAGATCTTCTTTTTCCCGGGCCCAACCCCCGAAGAAGTGATCCAACAGTACCAACAAGTCATCGGGAAACCTTACCTTCCAGCCTATTGGGCGCTCGGATTCCAGCTGTGTAGATATGGTTACCTATCGTTGAGGGACATGTCTGACACGCTGAATCGAGTTTTGGCTGCTAAAATACCAATCGACACGATTATCCCGGATATCGATTATATGGAGAGGTACAAGGACTTCACTATTGGACAGGATGTAAGTTGGAGGGAAGAGGAAGAATATGAGCTCGTTTTTTATGCAAAAGGAAGCTTCAAATATTTTGTAAAATACGGCAAAAGAACAGTTCGATCATAAAAATGCCATAGTCGTAATTCCTGCCTCTCTGTTAAGTTTTTTTGTAAAATACGGGGATAGACGTTGGGCAATAATTTTTGATCATATGTATGATCCTAACCAAATTTACGACATTAAATTTTCGTTTCCAGCGTTGGTACAACCTCCCCAACTTTGCGAAACAACTCCGAAAACGTGGAATGCACCTTACCGTCATCCTGGACCCGGCCGTTCAAGTGGACAATGCCATCTTCGAACGGGCCAAGATCATGAACGCCTCTTTTATCGCATGGCCAAGAGGAGACTTGGTCCAGCATAAAATCAATGATATCTATCAGAATACCAAGGGAACGTGGGATATGCTGGCGGTGGTTTGGCCGGATAAACATGTGGCCTTCCCGGATTTCTACGATGACACAAATGCGACTGAGAGGTGGTGGATTGAGGAGATAAAGGTGATTTTTTCGTCGAAAAATTAGTCATTCTTCTACTTTGGCGTTTTTCTTAAAGCATTGCTTATTTTAGGACCTCAACGATCGCATCAGCTTCGACGGTCTCTGGATTGACATGAATGAGCCGTCTGCCTTCGGGACCAATGAGAAGCATCCCTGGTACTACGACAGTCCCGACCATCCCAACATCGAGCCTCTTATGTGTCCCACTGAAGGTCCTGACGCCCATATGGACAACCCTCCGTATCGGACTAGTGCTGCCTATCAATATGGCAAGGATTACCCACTTGCCGGAGGCACTTTATGCATGCTCGCGAATGTAAACCGAGGAAAAAACAAATTGTTTGATTTGAAAAATCTCTACGGACTTCATGAGGCAATCTCAACATACAATGCCCTAAGGGAATCGACCGGAAAAAGGGGCCAAGTGATCAGTCGGAGCACCTTCCCTGGAGCCGGCAGATTTGCCGGGCATTGGTTGGGCGATAACACGGCAAGATGGGAGGATCTGAGGACGAGTGTGATCGGAGCCCAGGAATTCAACATGTTTGGGATCCCGTTTGTGGGCTCGGATGTCTGTGGATTCTTGGGAACCACCAATGAAGAGCTGTGCTTGAGATGGCAACAACTGGGAGCATTCCACTCGTTTTATAGGTGAGGAGGGGTAAAATACGGTTGTTGAAGGTATGACATTCAATGGGATACTTGACTTTTAGTTGGGGGTAGGAAGATGATTTTTTGATTCAAATAAAAAGGCGCATTATTATATTTTTTAAGGATTTTGCACCAAATTTGACTTCGGAATTCTGTTCAGAGTAAAATATGACGCATTTATCCATAATCAATATTTTTTATTCCGTTTGTTTTACTAAAGCAATGACTTCATGATTTTTGCGCTCAATTTTGACGTGCGTTATGCAGAAATTATCGATCCCTCAAGACTTCCTTTTTTAGTTACCAGTTTTTACTTTGAAAAATCGCATTTCACAAACGATAGTTCAATATGCGTATTTTACCATTTCCTTGAAGAAACCACAACGACATCAAGAGTCCGGCCCAAGACCCAGCGATCTGGCCATCTGTCGCCAAAGCCGCCAGAATTGCCAATGAATACCGATACCTTTACCTGCCCTATCTCTATTCCCTCCATTTCCATGTCTCGGAACATGGTGGAACCGTCATCCGACCGGTCGCATTCGAGTTCCCACAGGACCCAAAAACGCATGGCCTCAGTTTCCAGTTCATGTGGGGTCCGGCTGTGATGGTAGTGCCGAATGTGTGGCCAAACACTGACATAATTGGCAGTTACTTGCCGGAGAACAGTAATTGGTACACCTTCTATGGCTCGAAATATGGAACACCCATCAAAGGGACGAATAATATTGATGCGGGGAAGGAAACACCGGCTCCGGCATTCTTGAGAGAGGGATATTTGCTGCCAAGACAAGTGCCGGGGATGAATACAGAAGAGAGCCGGAAGAATAATCTGCAGCTGGTCGCTGGATTGAAGGGGTTGAGGTGAGCGGAGGGAGATTAGGAGAGCTCCAGGCAGTGGTAAATTTCCTATAAAATCTTCGGAAAATTCAATGCAAACCGAAAAATTTTGTGTGCATTTGCTTTACATACATTTGGAGACCTGATCCAGTGGCAAAAAACGTACCATTTTGCATCCAAGAAGCATCAAAAAATGTGGCAAAAACCTCCCTCTTCAGGTGAAAAAACTCCGATTTCAAAAACACGCCCACTCTTTTTGTGGGAGCCCTTCAAAACGAAATTTTTTCAGGGAAGCATTTTGCCCCATTTTTGATGCCTCCCGGATGCAGAATGGTACGTTTTTTGCCACTGGATCGGGTCCTTCACTGTATGTAGTTTCACACGTCGTGAAAGAACATTTCAAAGCTCGGTTTAACTGACATTGAAGTGCCCCAAGTGCGACGCTCACAATCAGATTTTGAAGTAACTTGGCTCAAATTTAAACGCTCAAAGAAAAGGCAAAAAAACGCTTTTTTTCTCCGACCCCTCTCCAAATTTCGCCTTCTCTCTCGACGGCAAAGATCGTTCAACACCTCGGCTGTACCTGTAAAGCGCGAGCTAAAACTTCAGGAATTGATATATGGCCTATGCTTGACGTATGTGCAAAATTTAAAGAAAATCTGAGTGTCACATTTGGGGTACTTCCTTTGTGAGCTGGTTCTGCATAACTGTCACTAAAAAGCAGCTCATGAGATCAGCAAAGAGCTCCACTTGTTATCAAGAAAGAAGTATGAGGAGATACGAAGAGAAATCTTGATTAGAAGGGAGCGCCAAAAAATCAATCACATGGACACTTGGTCCGAGTGAAATAAAGTGCAAACTGCTCTTGCTCGATCAGATAGATACTCCTTCTTGGCAAGGCTGTCGTATCTGTAAACAGGTTTTCAAATAACAAGCCAATCTTCATCAAGCTCAGAGCTCAAGTTCAATTTTTTCAATCTTCTTTTTTCAGTGATGACGTTCACTTTGCTCGAGGAGAATTGTATTGGGACGAGGGCGACAACGACGCCTATATCCACTCAAACACCGCTGCAGGAAGTCGTCTCTACTCTCATTACCATTTCAAGTTCAATCTCACTGTAACTTCTACTACTTCTACGCTATTTATCACAAGGGCTCATAAGCCAATCCATGGGGATATTAATATTCCAAATATTGAGGAGATCGAAATCTTAGGCCAGCCGTTTGGCGCCAATTTGAATACCTTTACTGTGAATGGCCAGAAAGTTACAGTATCCAAACAAGAGAGCCGATACTCGCCGTTTACAAAAATTTTGAAGATCAGAAGGCCTGGAATTGGACTAATCAATTTGAATTCGAATAACGGAGAGGACAAGAACATCTGGAAAATCACTTGGGAGAAGCAATAAAGTACTGTAATTTGTTGTAAAATTAAAAATAAATCGAGCATTTACTGTCAAAAAATGATTAATATTCACAGAAATAAATTATAAAACCTTTTTGACCCATTAAGTATTTAAATTTTTGAATTTCCCGCCAATTTTGGCATTGTTTTTTTGGCCGGCATTGGCCATAAATCATCAAAAAAAGTAAGAATATGTTATATTACAAGATTAATAAAAACTGAAAAGTGATTTATTTCGATTTTCTGATCTATTTTTATATTACCCATGATGATTAAGATTCAAAAAATTATAGTGATGACTTCAATTCGCATTTCTGATAATCTTGGCCCTCATTTTCAAATTTTTACAATTCTATTTAGCACTTTACAATACAACGTTTGCAAATTCTCATCAAAAATTTGCTTCTGCAAGCAAAACTCGTTGCTTTTTTCAACTCTTTTATCCAGTCCCTTTGCAAAAAGCAGCCTGAATCCAACGAATAAAGTCCACAGAGATCATGGATCGCAAAAAACGAAGAGAACGGAGGAGAAGAAGACTGAAGAGCCCTCGTAAAAGTCCCGTTGGACACGGAAAAAAGAGAGGGAGCACTTTCGCTCCCAAAAAAAAAATAATTTTTCTCTCCATTTTTTCGCTTTTTTCCTTTATACAATGTTTGCGGGCTCTGTAGTAACTTTTATTGATCTGGAACTGGTTTCCGGGGGGGTCCCAATAAGCTAAATTACGGGGGAATCGGTTCTAGAAAGATGTTTAGGGAGCGTTTTGGGGGATTATATCGTGTTAGACATCAATATTGGTAGAGCTTTTTAAATTCTTGCTCTTTTTTGGAAGAAAACATGGATAAAGTGATGTTTTTTGAATGAAAATGGGAGTTTTGAGACTTCTAACAGTATGGCCGTTATTTTTCTTACCGTATTTTACTTTCATAATCTTTTTATTTTTTATAATCTGTCTATTGCTATCTTCTCTACCCGCAAAATTAAAGATTTTCCCAAAAAATTAGATTTTTCCCGAAATTTCCTCCAAAATTCTTTTTTTTTCTGTAAAAAATAATACCAGTCTCAGAAGTTCACTTTGCACCGTGCAATAAGCTTTTTTCTGGTGTCGCTAACACCCTGACCTTTTTGCACAGTGCATGTCGCAAAAATCACTCCAACGACTTTACGAACGGACTATTACATATTGGAAGGTTTGTAACGAAAGTATTTTGGGGGAGATTTCACGCGGATTTTTGGAGAAAAAGTGACGAAAAATTACAATTTTGGGTGTGGTAAAATACGATGTGAAAGAAGAATGATAGAGAACTTTCTGTACCAGTCTGTCGGAAAAATAGTGAGCGCTCTGTAGCATCGAAAATCGTATCGCCGCCGAGAAAATGAATTATGTCGCGACAAAAGCGAATTCCTTTTCACTTCAACGACGCGATCGGCGCAGCGACATTGTGCTACCCCACAGGCTAATATTATTTTTAACAGAAAAAAAACGAATTTTGGAGGAAATTTCGAGAAAAAATCTAAATTTTTGGGAAATCCTTAACTTTGCGGGAAGAGAAGTTAGCAATGGACAGATTATAAAAAATGGAATTTTGGGGGAAAAATATAGCAAGTGAAACTGTTAGCAATCTCAAAATTCTACATTTTCTTCAAAAAACATTATTTTACCCATCTTTTCCCAAAAAAGACAAAAATTCAAAAAACTTTACCAATATTGATGTCTAACACAATATAAGACACCCCGAACGGACTAGTACATTCTATCCGTTTTCCTCATTTCCGATCCCCATTTAATCCGCCGACCAAAAATTAAAAAAGTTGCTGAAATTTGATTAATCCGTAAAACAAATTTCCCCTCAGGCACTACTGACTAAAGTTTTGTCCAACTTTGCTTACAATGACATCATTTTGAAGGGAATAAAATGGGATTTAAGCCCAAAACTTGTTTGGTCCCTTTTTTAAAGTCGGCGGAAAATGTTTTTCCAGTTATTTTTGGACGAGAAATTGCGTCAAATGGGGGGAAATTTGTGTTTTGCCTTGAATTGGAGGAAAGGATGTTAGAATACATTTATTTTGGAGGGATAATGAGGAGTCGGTGACAATTTTTCATCTACTTTTTGGGGGAAAATAATGTTTTTGAACAAAAATTTGAGGTTTAGCGGAAAATCAAGTTTTTATGCAAATTTATGGAAATTTTTTGGGGGAAAAATCTCAAAATTTTTATATCAACCTATGAGAAAAAATTGAACAATTTTTTAAAAAATCATAATTTTCATTTTTTTCGCAAAAAATAAATTGAAATTTAAATATTCAAATTAACCCAAAATATTAACAGAACTGGTAAAACCGTATTTTACCCTTTTTACTCTGTAAAATTGCTCTTAAAATACGTATTTTGGACCCTTTTCATCCCGACCTTGAGGGATAAACCGGTGTTTGCTCCTCTTTTTCCTACAATTTTCCCCATCTTTTCGACCTTTTACCTCATTCCAAAACATTTTCGTTTACTTTGGAGCGGACTCCTCCGTTCCTATCAGCTGACTCACAAAACATTGCTTTCGCTGGACGAAAACTCTTTTTTTCCACGTTTATTTTTGATAAAACCCGGAACTCGCGAGGGTTTTTTGGGTTCCGCACGGAAATTTTTTGTAGAATCCGCTGATTAGATCATCGTTAACCCTTGCTAACTTTTTTACTTCCATGCCAATTTCTTCATTTTATTTTAACCTTTTCAATCTTGTTCACCAAAATTTAAAATTTCATTAAAAATTCCAGACTTTGTGCCAATTTCTCACTCCCACTTTATTCAGTATTCCCCCCGATTTGCACTTTATATTGTACCAGCTAGCACATGATTCAGAGCCTTTGAAATCGGGTAATTTCCGAGTAGTGCATATGTAATTACCCTCTGGTTTGAGTAATTGTCAAATTCTTTTGGAAACTTGCGTATTCTAAATTCAGTTGGGGCATTGACGTAGAGAGAGGGTCATATGATGACCTTTTTTTGGAATTGAAATGTTTTTGAAGGGGTTTTGTTTGAAAACTGTATTTTAAAAAACATTTTTCGCAGAAAAGACATGTCCAGGAGACATTAATGTAAACGTATTTTACATTTCTAAGCGTCTGACTTACTTTTTAGCAATAAAATTTTTCGGATTTCTTCAGATTTTCAATTTTGGAAAGTACAAAGGTAAAAAACGAATTTTAAAAGCCTTTTTTGCAAGAATGAAACAGATAAAGGCCATAAAAAATAACCAATGATACCTTATTGTTCGTATTTTACTGTCTTAAGAACCCATCTTTATCCCAAAACTTATTAAAATCCGCAAAACAAAGATTTGCGCCTGGCGGGAATCGAACCCGCGTCGGTCGCTTGGGAAGCGACCATGCTAACCATTACACCACAGGCGCCGGTGTCCTCCGCCCCTTCTTCGGGACCCGAGAGGGAAAGGAGAGAGCGGTGCCCGAGGCCTTCGCACTGTGCGCTTCGTTCCCTCTTTTCCCAAGTTTTTCCGACAAATTTTTGAGGGATTTCGCCGGAAAAGGCGAATAAAAATTATTTTTATTGGGATTATAAAGTCCAATAAATATTTTCAATGACTTTATGGACCGATTTCTCATATTTTAGAGATAAAATTTGCATATTAAAATTCTGAGATGTTTAGACATTTTAGGAGTTTCTAAGTTCGATAACCATTCTAAAAGGTCAGAAACGTGGAGACATCAATCTTTCTCACTTTCTCGCTTCCTAAAATACACGTTTTCCCATCAAAAAACGGTCTTATCAAAGAAACCCCGTATTTTTGATCCCAAAAACATTTCATTACATCATTTTCCCCCATTACTCGGTTATTCCTCGACTTTTCACTTTCTCCCCGCCAAAATCCGTGACCTTGAAATGCGTGAGAGTGAAAACCCAAAAGAGTAAAGGATGGAGGAAATATTTTCGTTTCGATTATATGGTTTTTTGTGGTTATATGTTTTTGGACGTGTTTTTTCGGAACTAGAATTTCTGGGCTCGAATCTTGTCTGGTGGGGGGATCGACTCGAAAATTAGATTATCTAGGAATTGGCTGCATTTTATACGAAAAAAAAAAGTTTTTTCGTATAAAACGTCGCTAACGGTTAATGGTTTGTTGCAGATCCGATATCGAAACGTTTCTTGTTCTTAAAATACGTGTAAAATACAGAATTGCATTACACATTAACAACATCATTCAGATAAGGCCGTGGCGACATTTTATACGGAAGAAATTTTTTTCGTGTAAAATGTCAAGAATTGTAAATGGTTGAGTTTTCATGAAAGCAAATGAATATTAACAATTTTTTTTGTAAAATACGCTCTACTAACCTAAGAGTTCAAAATTTTCACACGGACATTTTATACGCAAAAATAATATTTACTTTTTCGTATAAAATGTCTCCGCCATATAACATATCTTCTAGAAAACATGTAAAAAAGAAATTGAATCTTTTTTTTACCCTTAAATTCTATATTTCATAAATTTTTTTAAATGATTTTGCAATTTTCCCTTAAAAATTCATTTTTACAACGTTTCCCTGCATTTTCTTTGTTTTTCGTTCAAAAAATTACATTTCTGGACCTCTACTCCCCTCAAAAACACCTAGAGTGCGTGATGACTAAAGTTCCTCAAGCTTTATTCGCAATTTCCAGAGAAAACAAGAGATAATCCTTGCTTTTCCAACCTTTATTTCTCCTTTCCAAACTTTATTAATTGGTTATCTCCTCAAAAAACTTGAGCTCACCCATGTTTATACAAGGTATATCCTCCCAGTATCCTCTGCGTGTTTTCGCTTAAATTTGAATGTAAATGGCAGCTCTCCATCTAGTTCAGTTCCTCTATTTGTTGTTACTTTCCAACAAGAAGAAGCCTCGAAAAGGCCTCCAGCCGAGTTCAGAAACCTGAACAAGCATCCAGCGTGGTGGAACGCTCACTTTTTGGGCGAGTCTAATATCAATTGTGATGTCTTTTTTTGACTTTGACGCCGACTCTTTACTTCTATTGTAATGTTTTTAACAAAGGAAAAGCGAAAGGAGAAGTTTTAGATGTTTTTGGAGCTTGAAATTAGTTGAAAATCGTCCACGATCCTTGGACTTTGAGTTCAAGCATCGTGGAATTTAGCTGCAAATAGGCGTAATTTTTAATATGGGCGACATTTTATACGAAAAATTTAATGAGTACTAATCGTTTAGGGTTTTTATTGCGACATTTTATACGAAAGACAGTTTTTTGAACTTAAAAATTTTTGACTGTCCGCTACAGTGACGGACCCGATCCAGTGGCAAAAAACGTTCCATTTTGCATCCGGGAAGCATCAAAAACGTGGCAAAATGCTTCCCTTTCCAAGTGAAAAAACTTTGTTTTGAAGGAATCGGGGTTTTTTTTCACTTGGCGAGGGAAGCATTTTGCCACATTTTTAATACTTCCTGGATGCAAAATGGTACGTTTTTTGTCACTGGATCAGGTCCCTCCACTGTATATGTTTATAAGGGATTTGATTCAATTTTACGACCATTTCTGCTATAAGGGGACATTTTATACGAATATCTTTATCTTACAAAAAATCTCAGCTCTTCTATTCTTTATTGCAAAAATAAGAGTAAAGTATAGTATAAACAGTACCAGCCTTTTTATTCGTATTTAGCGCATTGGTGACATTTTATACAAACTTTTATTTACATATATTATGCAAAATTTTACCTAAATGACGAAACATGCCAATTTAATCTTAAAACTTGCAAAAATACAATTTGCATTTACTCTATCTCAATTTAAAACCTCAATTTCCCTTGCAAAGTTCCCATATTACACCGCAGAATGGACTATAAAACAGAGATAACCCTTTTTAACCTCCATATTTAATCGCCCATGTGGTTCGCACTCGGAATTGAGGTCATTCCGACTACCTAATCCCACCTGTTTGCTCAATATTTTAGTGGATTAACCATGCAATAGCCACTCAGCCCGCTTTTTTTCCAAAAAATTCCGTTTTTCGCAAACAATGGACGAGTCTAGATAGTAATAGAGGAGAAATAGGTTGCTGTAATGTCATCGTGACTAATTCAAGGTTATTCGGCCTGTTTACGTGTGTTAAAGCGGGTGGTCGGGAGGGAAATGGGAACAATTGGAAATTCCCCTCAGGGTAAGAGGAGAATTTCCGAGATTTTTGTTTATTTTTTGTAGAAACTATGGACCTCGATGCTTTTTTGCCATCAAAAAATACCCTATTACTTATTTTAGAAGAGGAAAAATGAACCTTTTGCCTACTACAATATAACTGATGCCTAAATCGCCTAAAAAGCTCTATAATGTCGCTATGATTTGACAATTTTTAGTTTTTTTAAATAGTTTTTGGGTCCGTTTGCCATGTTAAACCTATAATTTTTTCAAAATCACAAAAATTTTGTCTGAAGCCTGGGCGCAGCTTGAAAATGCAAAAATAAATTATAATAATTTTGATTAGACGCGAAAAGTTTGATGATTGTGCGAGTCGGTGAGAAAAAATTATTTTCTCGAGGTTTCTATGCTTTGTAATTGTAAAATACGTCGTTTTCTTCGAGTTTTATTAGGAGATTCTTTTAATTCTTGACATTTTTAAACAATTTCTTTTATTTTTCACATTTTTAACTTTCGTTTCATCCTGATTAATCCAAAAATACTTGACTTGCTCTCAAATAACCCTAACTTTATTTCCAGGGTACCCCTATAAACCTCATAAATCCCTGCCATGGACGCCTCCCGTCGTCGGCTAGCCAAAGAGCTCTCCCAGCTGGTCACCGAGCCGCCAGAGGGCATGCGGATCGACCAGGAAGAGGCCTCCAAAGATCTACTTAATTGGACTGTATCAGTCGATGGGGCGCCCAACACTTTGTACGAAGGGGAGACCTTCAAACTGCAATTCAAATTCGATAATCAATACCCATTCACGTCGCCTGAGGTGAGAGCTAGCGATTTTTGTTTTGGTTTTAGTCTGATCTGTCGAGAACAGAGCCATTATTGGGGATTAATCGGAATTTTATTTTTTTTTTCGGAATCGGAATTGAGGAATAGTTTTGTAAGACTAATGAAAAAAAAATTTCCATTTTGTTAATCTGTTTTAAAATGCCATTAAAAGTATCGACATACAACAATCACAGGATTTTGTAAAGATTTTTATATTATCCATGGTAAAAAAAGTGAAAATTTTTGGCCATTTTTTGAGATTTTTACAAATTTTTGGGTGTAGATCCATTTTAAAATCCTTTGCATGCCATAAAAAACTATTCTTTGGTAAATTTTTATATTATCCATGACAAAAAAAATATTAAAAAAAAAATTTTTTTGTGGTCCTATTCTATGGATATCGTAATTTTAGTAGTCCAAATCCCCTAATTCTAGTAATTACAACCATATTTTCAGGTGACGTTTGTGGGCAATCACATTCCCGTCCACCCGCACGTCTACTCCAATGGCCATATTTGTTTGTCGATCCTGTTCGACGACTGGACCCCTGCCCTGAACGTGCAGGCTGTCTGTCTCTCCATCCTGTCCATGTTGTCCTCCTGTCGCAAAAAGGCGCCTCCCATGGACAACACGGCCTACGTGAATACCTGTCACAGCCGCCCGAGTATGACTCGCTGGTGGTTCCACGATGACAAAGTCTAGAACGAGTATTTTCTTTCGGCCTCAACCTGAACTTTTATTTTTGATTTCGGGCCTTTGTATCATAAATTTAAAATTTTTTGAACTGTTTTTGGCGGAATTTTGTTTTAGGAGAAATTGGGGAGTTCTTGCAAATTTCGGTGAAATTTGAAAATTTTGAAATTGAAATTTATCAGTCACACTAAGAACTGGATTTTCAAAACCAAAATTTTTTAATGGCTAGTTAAGTTTGGCCCTAAAACACGACTTTTTAAAAACCCATAAAAATTTTTTGTCGTAAAATGGTATATTTTTGACTAAAACAACATAAGACCCCCCTCCAAATCCTCTAAAATGAACCCCGATTACAATATGTATACAAACCTATGTCTACAACGATCTTTTTACCCATTCTTCAAAGAAACTCTAATGAATTGTTGATGTGTAAATTTTTAATCGCGATAAAACCAAAAAAATAAATAAACTTGTTATAAAATCTAACGGTGATTACTTATTTCATACTTTGACCATGACTTTTCGCTTCGTTTTCGAGCGCTGCGATTAGCGAAAAACAATGGAAACTTGATTCGGAGGGGATTTGAGTTCGTTCGAAAGGCCGAAACCCGTGCGTCTGTGGTGTAATGGTCAGCATGGTTGCCTTCCAAGCAATCGACACGGGTTCGATTCCCGTCAGACGCAGAAATTAACTTTTTGGGGATTTGGAAAAAAATTTCATTCTGAATTTTAATCGTATGATTTTTTATATTCAAAAAGAGTAATGACGCATCTTAAAGTACCTTTATAGATTCATGGTTGCAAATTTTTTACCTTTCATTTATTTCTAAAATTTTCTTTGGAGATTCTCTTCAAACTGGCCCTCCTGTGTCGAAGACTGACGAACAGTCGGTTGGATAGGACATTATCAAAGGGATCCTTCTCCAGATTACGATCAATCGGAGACACAAATTCATCCTAAAAATAAATTCAAAGTAACAAACCCCCTACCACATGAAGTTGCGGGTACGGAGCGAACAAATTATTCAAATACAGGCGAGATTCATTTCTCCATGGGCTTCCTCTTCGAAGACAATGCTCACAAAGAGGGTCTACTACACTTCTGGAGATCAAATACTTCTCAGCTTCATCAACTCGTTTTCCAGATTCCAGCTTCTTGATAAATTCCTCTACGTTTATCGTCTTTCCGCGAGGCTCTTTTCCTCTATTGGACTAAATGCAAAAATAAATGTAATTTGAAATTAACTTACATGTTTGTACTCCCTCAATAAATCGACCAATTTTAGTACGGAAAGACATCTTGGAAGGACCGGTTCACCGTTCTCTATTCGAATGTGGTCCTGAAAAGAAGTTCAAGGGTTTTTGCGACCATCAGCAACCTTACTCTTTCCAATTCATCCACAATTATCACAACAACATCATTAAAATTGACCATCGAATCTTTGGGGACCCGTTTAAACCCATTTCCTATCCGAATCTCGGTTGATAACACCCTTTCTTTCTCGATCTGCAGCTGTCTGCAAACATCATTAACAATATTCAACACGGATTTTCCGCATCTAGTGGGGAATCGACCAATTTCTTCGCCATTGAAGTCCACAACTCGAACTCGATGTTTTAGAAGTAACTAAACACTGAATAACTAAATACATTGAGAGAAATCACCTTTTGCGGATCCCTGGTGATCCGATAGACAGCATCATCATCCCCAACTTTGTCTTTCCACCTGATTTTCGTCCAAGTTCCATCCTTTTTTTGTTGTTTTAGGCATCTGGCCTCTTCAATTCGAAGTTTCTTCGATTCCATCGCATTTTTCACCAATTCTTTTACAGTTTCACCTGAACAGCATGGAATGGTATCCAAAATCGTCCCCCGGAGAGTGTAAATCTCGAGTTTTGGCATCTGAAACCAAAAAGTAAGAAGTTATGTCAAGTATAACATTGATATAACATATGTTTTCACAGATACGCTCTCCAAAATGACCTATAAACATCTCGACTGCTGTGAAATTCACGAAATTCTAGTAGGACTTACTCAAAATCTGTTTTCCCGCAAAAACAACGAAATTTATTTTTTGGTGCAGACTTGACACATAACGGAGATGGGTCAAGTGTTCCCAAAAATAAAAACTTGCGCGAAAATCTTTTGCAAAATCTTGTCAAAACTGTAGCATTTCTCCCTAAACCTGTAAGTTTATTCGACAATTAGCTAATTCAATTTTTTTCCAAGTTCTTTATTTATTCGTTGTTACACTAGACCTTTTATATTATTATTTTTTGATTTTAGATGCCTAAACTCCAGATTTACACACTTCGACGGACGATTTTGGATACCATACCATGCACTTCAGGTGAAACTGTCAAAGAATTGGTGAAAAATGCGATGGAATCTGTTGGCGACTTCATTGAAACCGCCAATTATTTTCCACGAATTTGCATAAAGTCAAAGGACAAAGTCTTCATAACGTCAATTTTCCTATTCTCAGAAGTCGGTGTCTCGCGCTCCTCTAGTGAGCGGTTGTGTGTGTTTCTCGTGTATTGCCCAATAAATATTCTCCTAATTGTCTAAATCGTTTATATGGGGGCTCAAGTCTGACGAAACCGGGCCTCATCGTCGTTTTCCTTGGAGCAATAAAGGTATCGTTTCTCGTATTTTTGTCTACCACCGGATTGGCCACCCGGTGTCTGTCTTTCAGTTCCCTCTTCCCCGGCCCCTCCCTGTGTTCGGTGTCAGCCAGGGCAGGTTACCCTCGGTAATATTTTCCTCTATCGTTCTCGCTCGTTCCCTTCCCTAGACCAGAAATTAGGTTCTAGGTGAATTCTCGTTTTCCTATCGATTTTCTCGTTCTCTTATCGTTTATCGTTTTCCCCCTAGTAAAGCTTCTAGGCGCCGCTTGTTTTCCTTCTCCAAGTCAATTTTCTACGACTGGACAATTTCTTGTAATTTTCCCGGATTCTCACACAAACTTATTCCCTAGTCCTGTAGACCTTTCATCAGACCATGAACCATTCGTCCCTTGACAGTATCTACTTGACTAGTGCCGACATTTTATCCTCCCCATTGTTCTCTCGAAATGCGTGGCAGCTCCATCTTGACTACTTACGTCAATACGGCGATCAACCGACCAATGACGCTCGTGATCGAGATACATTTAAGGTCCTAGGTAGAACACAGGTTTTCCAAGATCTCATCCAAATATGCCGCAAGATTCATGTAATCTATGGCACTACCCTACCAGATATCCTCGAAGATTTATCTCGACCTCTCAACCAGATAAATGACCCCACTATTTCCCCTCAGGTGACCCTTGATCGTTTGAAATTAGTTTTAAGTGAGCTCCGTCGGTTTGAGAAACAAGCAAATACCCTCCTAGGAGAGCTCAGTGATATCTGTTACTCCAACAACGTTCCTAACGAGTGTTTGAATGCTTTCTTGTCATCCATTGAGAGACCTGTTATTTCAGCAATTATAAAGTATTGGAGCAATAGTTGTAAGGAAAAAATAGCTGATCTTGAAGAATCCTTGGATCCACGAAACTCCCACAAGTTCGAAACCATTTCTCCCGTTACCCCTCCAAGGCTCTCAAATCTCGTTCCGGCTTTCTCTTCTTCCCCAATTCTCCCGTTAGGTCTTCCTCCTCCCATGAATTCTCCACCAAAGCGATTAGGCATCGATCTGGCAAAGGCCAAAGTTCCCCGTTTCACTGGTCGAAAAGATGAATTCCCCATGTTTTTCGCATTGCTTAATGAGGTCCTCGACTATAACAAAGATTACCCCGAGACTACTCGCATAGGATTCCTCGTTTCCAATCTTAGCGGTGAACCCTTGACTAGCATTCAGTCGATTCCGATTCGGGCAGGTAGTTTAGCCATCATGTTGAAGTCCCTCCAGGATAGATACGGCGACTCCGAAGATCAAGTTGACCGATTGATAAAGATCCTCAAAGATAAAAGGCTTTCGGTTCCTCGTACCCATCAAGAATTGACATCGTGGTATTATCAGCTGCGTGATATGAGTGTCTGCCTCCTTTCCTCGACTTCTGAAGCCCAAGAGCGCCTCTTTCTTTCTTGTCTGTTCGATTCCCTTCCCTTCAACATTCATGAGTCCATAGTTGCTTCTTTCGATCGTTCAGGTCAAAAGGCTACCGTCAAGAACGTCATCAATGAACTAGGCATTATCGTTAGAACCCGTGAGAAATTGCTTTTCCGAGCTGGAGACGTTTCTGATCGTCGAGAGACTTGTGACTTCCTCAATCATTCGGATTTCGAACCTCGAGCTTTGTTCAATTCCGCCAGTCATGATGCTCGTTCTTTTCCCCAATCCCGGTCTGACAATACCAGTTTCTTCAATCCCAATCCTAGTCTGACTCTTGCTTCTTGTGCCTTCTGTTCCCAGCCTCATGACTCTGCAAGTTGTCAGATTGTCCAAGATTTCGATTCTCGTCAGCGGATTGTTCGTGAGAATAGGCTCTGCCTTCTTTGTCTTCAACGTGGTCATATCGTTGCTCAGTGCTCTTATTCTCGATGCTCAAATTGTAACGGTCGACATCATGTTTCTCTTTGTGGTAAATTGTTTCCTCCGAACGAATCGAACTTCAAACCTCAGCCTGAAACTCCTCTGAGTTCCGTGAACCCTACTCCGAATCCAGCACTTTCTCGTTTCCCGAGGTCAAACCCAGTCGAATCAGTTACTCCAGAGATACCCATGAGAAGCTTCCGGTTGAATGGACACCAAGAAAATCCGCAATTGCCCTCCCCTATCGTCTCGCACCCTATCGTATCGCAACCTATTGTATCGGATCCTATCGTTTCATGTCCTCTCGTATCGTCTATTCTAACGCCCGCTATCGTATCGCCCCCTATCGTATCGCAATCTATCGCATCACCTGTCGTATCGTCTATCGTTTCGCACCCTATTGTATCGCGTCCTATCGTATCGAAATCTATCGTCTCGCCTATCGTCTCGTCTCCCATTTTATTGTCTCCTATCGTTTCGTGCCGTCTCGTATCGTCTTCTATAGTAACACCTTTCGTATCTGGTTCGAGAAACTCTGTGATTTCTTCGGTAAAATCTTCCTCTATTCCCCAAGACTCTTCTTTGAATGTTGGAAATCCATCTCTGCTTAGTGATCTTGTTGCGGTTCCCCATGTTCGTCATCGTAAATGGGGCCGTAAGAAATTTCCGGATCGAGGGCAGGTATTGCCGCTGGTCAATATTGGTTTCACGAATCTTCCTGAACCCCATTCCCCCTATCACACTCCATCCGAAACTCCCCACTCTTCCCCATCGCTCTCTGGATGTCATTTTCTACTGAACGAATTGCCGATGGAACAACGCACCCGATGCAAACTCAAATTGATGGACCTAGAACTTTCACATGGACAGCCATTCGAAGATGAATACCCGGACACACTTATGCCCTGCTCATGCCCTGATGTACCCAATCCAAACCTTCCAGCCACAGAAGAACCCAAAGGATGTCAACCCATGGTCAAGGAAAGAAGAGGAAAAGTGGGCATGTTGGCGACTTCATTGAAACCGCCAATTATTTTCCACGAATTTGCATAAAGTCAAAGGACAAAGTCTTCATAACGTCAATTTTCCTATTCTCAGAAGTCGGTGTCTCACGCTCCTTAGCGTGCGGTTGTCTTCTCGTGTTGGCCCAATAAATATTCTCCTAATTGTCTAAATCGTTTATAAATCGAAGAAACTTCGAATTGAAGACGCCAGATGTCTAAAACAACAAGAAAAAGATGGAAGTTGGACAAAAATCAGGTGGAAAGACAAGGTTGGCGATGATGATACAGTTTACAGGATCACCAGGGATCCGCAGAAGGTTTGTCGGCTCATTTTTTGATAGATTTTTTATTTTTAGTTGACACTGAAACATCGAATCCGAGTTGTCGATTATGATGGTGAAGAGATTGGTCTTTTACCGACAAAATCTGGGACAATGGTTCGAAATATTGTGAATGATATCTGTAAACAATTGGAGGTTGAGTTGAAAAGTGTTTGTTTAGTTGAAAGGTACAGAGATGGAAAGGCAACGGTACTCAGAATGGATGCGACCGTGAATTGGAATGATTATTTGGCCATAACTATTGATATTCTTGATCGGGCAAGTTGAAATGAGCATTTTTAGATTGAGTGTGATGCAATTCAACTAACAAGAGCGTTTGAATTTCAGGAAACGATTGTCATTGAAAACGGCGAACCAATTTTGCCGAAATGCCTAACAGTACTGACTTTAAAACAACTTCTGCTCGATTATAAGCATGTAGGTGATCCAGACATATTTTTTTACTGTAGTCTTTTATGTCAGGCCACACTCGGAACTGGTGCATCATCAACAAGAGGTTTGGACAACGGCGAATTGCTGGCCAAGCTCGAATCTGGAGAAGCCCCTACCTTGGCAGAAAAACGGCTGATTGCCAAATGCTGTGCGCCACCACTGCAGCAACACTGTCTGAAACGAGGATTGCCCTGGAAAAGAGAGTGTAGGCTTTATCTGGCCAATCTTTTTGAACCGTACCCCCAGCTATATATTGTAAGTTTCTTTCGGAATCCGGCTCCAGCCAATTATGGTTATCAGAATAGACTAGCGGGCCGACCCCTTTTGGCCCGGCCTGAGAGCCATGGATAAAATTGGGAAAGTCAAAATGCGTTTTCGATGTTAGCCTACACGATTGTGGACTTTTTTTTTATTTATCTTGACTTTTTTTCAGCCAGATTTTGTCTCACAGTATGACGACCATAACTATAGAGGCTTTCTTGACATAACAATCGGCGGTGCAGAGGCGCACAGAAAAAAAAGAAGGCGAACTCGCTTGCTGAAGATTATGAAGTCAAAAAAAATCAGGTAGGTCTTACTTTTGCAATAAATTGGTTATTTTCAGCCTGACTTTGTCTTCAATCAAGATGTGAACGTCGAAATCACAATTTTTGTGAAGCATTTTCGAGGAATTGTTATTGGAAACATCGCAAAAATGCCATCTCCAAAATGTGTGCCAAGTAAAAAATTCTTCAATTATCATTACTGAATTTGTGTTTTCACCTTGTTATTGTTGACTTCTTACTGTTTTGTTGTTATTTTATGTTTGATGCCTAATAAATACCTCATGCTTACTGTAAATTTTTTGTTTCTGGCTTATTTTATGCCATCGTTTGACTTTTGTCCATAAAATTTGACAATGTAGTAGAATTTCGAGTGCATCTGATATTGTACTAGATAGTTGATCCGAAATCCGTTTATTTGATTGAGAAAGTCGAGAATGGAAAAATTATATCGGTAAAAGCTAATTCGAAGATGGATTGGGACCGAAAAGTGATCATAACTCTGGACATTGTTGATTGAGTCACGAATTTCTAATAGGATTTACTCAAACTCTGTTTTCCCGCAAAAACAACGAAATTTATTTTTGGTGCAGACTTGACACATAACGGAGATGGGTCAAGTGTTCCCAAAAATAAAAATTTGCGCGAAAATCTTTTGCAAAATCTTGTCGAAACGCTAAAATTTCTCCCTAAACGTGTAAGTATATTAGACAATTAGTTAGCTCAATTTTTTTCCAGGCTCTTTATTTATTCGATATTAGACTAGACCTTTTTTATTATTTTTTTTTGATTTTAGATGCCTAAACTCCAGATTTACACACTTCGAGGGACGATTTTGGATACCATTCCTTGCTCTTCAGGTGAAACTGTAAAAGAATTGGTTAAAAATGCGATGGAATCCAAGAAGCTTCGATTTGAAGAGGCCAGGTGTCTAAAACAACAAGAAAAAGATGGAACTTGGACAAAAATCAGGTGGAGAAGCAAGGTTGGGGACGAAGATACTGTTTACAGGATTACCAGGGATCCGCAGAAGGTTGGTGGACTCATTTTTTGATAGTTTTTGTGTTTTTAGTTGACACTGAAACATCGAATCCGAGTTGTCGATTATGATGGTGAAGAGATTGGTCTCTTACCGACGAAATCCGGGACAGTGGTTCGAAATATCGTGAATGAAATTTGTAAGAAGTTGGAGGTCGAGTTAAAACAGGTGTGTGTGGTTGAAGTTGTCAGAAATGGGAAGGCAGTGGCCATCAAAATGGATGCGAAGGTGAATTGGAATGATTATTTGGCCATAACTATTGATACTCTTGATCGGGTAAGTTGAAATGAGCATTTTTACATCAAGTGTGACAGGATTGAACTAATAAACGTGTTTTAATTTTAGGAAACGATTGTCATTGAGAACGGCGAGCCAATTTTGCCAAAGTGCCTCACAGTGCTGACTCTAAAACAACTTTTGCTCGATTATAAACCTGTAGGTGAATTACATGAATTACGTGAATGTTTATTTCTTTAGAAAGGCTTTGGGAGAAATTCAATGTTATTTCATATTCATAATTTTTGATCATAAAATCTTTTGCGCCTCATAATTATACATGATGACAAAAAAAATGTTTGGAAACTTGCGGGTATTTTTTCTTGGTATCTAAAGCCATACATTCGCAGAAATAAGCTCCGACATACGGTTTTTACTGTAGTTTTCTTTTTCAGGCCACACGCGGAGTTGCTAGATCAACAACAAGAGGTTTGGACAACGGCGAATTGTTGGCCAAACTCGAATCTGGAGAAGCTCCGAATGAGCCAGAAAAACGGCTGATTGCCAAATGCTGTGCGCCACCACTGCAGCAACACTGTCTGAAACGTGGAGCACCCTGGAAAAGAGAGAGTAGGCTTTATTTGGCCAATCTTTTTGAACCGTACCCCCAACTACATATTGTAAGTTTTTTTTTCGGAATCCGGCTCCAACCAATTATTGTTGTGCCAGAATAGACTAGCGGGCCGACCCCTTTCGGCCCGGCCTGAGAACCATGGATAAAATTAGGAAAGTTAAAATACGTTTTCGATGTTAGCCTACACCATTTTGGAGTTTTTTTACTTATCTTGACCTTTTTCAGCCAGATTTTGTCTCACAGTATGACGACCATAACTATAGAGGCTTTCTTGACAGAACAATCGGCGGTGACGAGGCGCACAGAAAACAAAGAAGGCGAAATCGCATGCTGAAGATTATGAAGTCAAAAAAATTAGGTAGACCTTACGTTTTGCAATAAATAACTTATTTTAAGCCTGACTTTGTCTCCAATCAAGCCATGAACGTTGAAATCAGCATTGTTGAGACGCATTTCCGAGGAATTCATTACGGGAAAATGAGGCATCGCAAAGATGACATCTCCAAAATGTGTGCCAAGTAAAAATTTCTTCAATTATCATTACTAAATTTGTCTTTTCACCTTGTTATTGTTGACTTTTTATTGTTTTGTTGTTATTTTATTTTTGATGCCTAATAAATACCTCATTTTAACTGTAAATATTTTGTTTCTGGCTTAAGTTATGCCATCGTTTTGTCCATAAAATTTGACAATGTAGTAGAATTTCGAGTGCATCTGATATTGTACTAGATAGTTGATCCGAAATCCGTTTATTTGATTGAGAAAGTCGAGAATGGAAAAATTATATCGGTAAAAGCTGATTCGAAGGTGGACTGGGACCAAAAAGTGATCATAACTCTGGAAATTGTTGATTGAGTCACGAAATTCTAGTAGGACTACTCAAAATCTGTTTTCCCGCAAAACAACGAAATTTATTTTTTGGTGCAGACTTGACACATAACGGATATGGGTCAAGTGTTCCCAAAAATAAAAATATGCGCGAAAATCTTTTGCAAAATCTTGTCAAAACGCTAAAATTTCTCCGTAACCGTGTAAGAATATTAGACAATTCGTTAGCTCAAATTTTTTTCCAAGGTTTTTATATATTCCATATTACACTAGACCTTTTTATTATTTTTTTTTGATTTTAGATGCCTAAACTCCAGGTTTACACACTTCGAGGCACGGTTTTAGATACCATTCCATGTTCTTCAGGTGAAACTGTAAAAGAATTGGTTAAAAATGCGATGGAATCCAAGAAACTTCGGTTTGAAGAGGCCAGGTGTCTAAAACAACAAGAAAAGGATGGAACTTGGACGAAAATCAGGTGGAAAGACAAAGTTGGGGATGATGATGCTGTCTATAGGATTACCAGGGATCCGCAGAAGGTTGGTGGGCTCATTTTTTGACAGATTTTTTGTTTTTAGTTGACACTGAAACATCGAATCCGAGTTGTCGATTATGATGGTGAAGAGATTGGTCTCTTACCGACGAAATCCGGGACAGTGGTTCGAAATATCGTGAATGAAATTTGTAAGAAGTTGGAGGTCGAGTTAAAACAGGTGTGTGTGGTTGAAGTTGTCAGAAATGGGAAGGCAGTGGCCATCAAAATGGATGCGAAGGTGAATTGGAATGATTATTTGGCCATAACTATTGATACTCTTGATCGGGTAAGTTGAAATGAGCATTTTTACATCAAGTGTGGCAGGATTGAACTAATAAACGTGTTTTAATTTTAGGAAACGATTGTCATTGAGAACGGCGAGCCAATTTTGCCAAAGTGCCTTACAGTGCTAACTCTAAAACAACTTTTGCTCGATCATAAACATGTAAGTTTTAATTTTTTTTGTCTTGAAAATGTTTTTAGAGTTACAAAATCGATTTCAATCAGAATCCATCACTTCTTGAATAAAAAAAAACAATTTTTTGTGCCTGATGTTGTACATGACAAAAAAAATATTGCGTTTTTTATTCATTTCTCATGATGTTGAGGGCCTTGTATTATAAACAAAAGAGGTCTGTGTAATATTTTCGTAGCTATATTTTCTTCATTCTAGCCCACAGTCGGAGCTGGTGGATCAACGACAAAAACTTTGGACACCAATGAATTGCTGGCCACACTTGAAGCTGGAGAAGCTCCGAATGAGCCAGAAAAACGGCTGATTGCCAAATGCTGTGCACCACCACTCCAACAGCACTGTATGAAGAGAGGATTGCCATGGCGAAGAGAGAGTCGGCTTTATTTGGCCAATCTTTTCGAACCGTACCCTCAACTTCATATTGTAGGTTTTTTATGGATTTTCTAAAGGTTCTGGATGAATTTTTGCTTAAGTTGATAGTTGGGTGAGGGTATTATGGCAATTTTTAGACCGATTACGTTGTCAACAATGAGTACGCGTTTTTTGAACGGCTTTTCCGCGGTGATTTGGCCAATTGGAAAAGAAAACAAAAGTCTGTTGTCTCGAGAATTGTCGCAAAAACGAGGAAGTCAAAATAGGTGGGTGAATAGGTAAAAAATTTTGACTAGGTAGATAATCGAAGGGTTTTCGGAAAATGCTGACATTTTGAAGTAATTATAAGTTTTGATTTCCATTATTTTTAGGTTGATTGGGTTTCGGATCGTAGCGAAAACTTGGAGAGAGGCATATTTTATAGTGTAATTGTTGGAGATGCGAAAAATCAACAACGAAAAAAGCAAAGAGGGCTTTTGAAGGCCGTAAAATCATATAAAAATCAAGGTAGTTTCACAAAGTTATACTAAAATTTTCGATGACGCATATATGAAGTCAAGGAGTTTGTTTTTTAACTTGCATATTTTCAGCCTGACTTTGTCTCCAATCAAGACATGAACGTCGAAATCAGCATTTTTGAGAAGCATTTTCGAGGAATTAATTATTGGAAAAGGAAACATCGCAAAAATGCCATCTCCAAAATGTGTGCCAAGTAAAAATTTCTTCAATTATCATTGCTAAACTTGTGTTTTCACCTTGTTATTGTTGATTTCTTATAGTTTTGTTGTTATTTTATTTTTGATCACTAATAAATACTTCATGTTTACTGTAAATACTTTGTTTCTGGCTTATTTTATGCCATCGTTTGATTTTTTTGTCCATAAAATTTGACATCGATTAGTAAAGATTCGAAGGTTTTTGATATTGTGCTAGATAGTAAAAATAATTCTATTTTTTTTTGTACTCTTAGATGCCGAAACTCGAGATTTACACATTGAAAGGGACAATTTTGGACACGATTCCCTGTTCTCCAGCTGAAACTGTCAAAGAATTGGTGAGAAATGCTCTGGAGTCCAAGAAACTTCGAATTGAAGAGGCCAGATGTCTAAAACAACGGGAAAAAGATGGAAATTGGGCTAAAATCAGGTCGAGGGACAAGGTTCGGGATGAGAATGCTATATACAGGATCACCAGAGATCCGGAGAAGGTATGAGAGCTTAGTATTTTAGGGAAAATGCATAAAATTTTATAAAAATGATGTTTTGGATGTGTCTGAAGCACCGAGTCCGAGTAATTGACTACGAAGGCCGAGAACTTGCTCTTCTCCCCACGAAATGCGGAATGATTGTTGGAAATATTGCCAAGGACGTGTGTTGTCAGCTGGGAGTTGATCCGAAATACGTTTATTTGATTGAAAAAGTCGAGAATGGAAAAATTTTGTCGGTAAAGGCGGATTCGAAGGTGGATTGGGACCAAAAAGTGATCATAACTCTGGACCTTGCTGATAATGTAAGCCGAAATATAGTTTTTCAGATTGATTGGGATGTGATTGAACTAAAAATAAAGTTTGATTTCAGGAGAGGTTCGTAATCAAAAGGGGAGAGCCGATTTTACCGAAGCGTCTCAGAAAGGTGACCCTAAAACAACTTTTGGTCGATTACAAAAATGTGAGTGGACAATTTTACATAAGAATTTTATAGGGAATTGCGTGAAGCTCAAATTTTGATTAAATTTAGCGTAGATTTTGATTAAAAAGCTTTGGTTTTTTAAGGTTTTTATGTTAACGTTGCTAGAAGATGAGGGATGTTTTATTTTTGGGAAGGAAAACTAGGGTTCGAGTTAAGATTATACTAGTCCGTTCGTAAAGTCGCTGAAGTGATTTTGGCGACGTGCACTGTGCAGAAAAAGTCAGGGTGCGAGCGACAGCCCAAAAAAAATTTATTGCACGGTGCAAAAATCAAGAGATTGCACAATGCGGAGCAAACTTTTGTTTTTGCACAGTGCATGTCGCCGAAATCACTCCAGCGACTTTATGAACGGACGATTACAGTGACATACCCGATCTTCTGGCAAAAAACGTTATCATCTTGCATCCGGGAAACGTCAAAAATGTGGCAAAATGCTTCTCTCTCCATGTGAAAATCTTTGTCTTGAAGGGCGCGCTTTTGAAATCGCAGTTTTTTCACTTGGAGAGGGAAGCATTTTGCCACATTTTTGATACTTTCCGGATGCAAAATGGCACGTTTTTTCCACTGGATCATGTTTCCCACTGTAGTAAGCCTGAATTTCGGTTTTCAAAAATCGCCAAAAAATATAAATTTTTTGAAAATTTTTAGCCTGAAAATCTAATCTATATAAATTTGTGCCAAGATTCATCAAAATCTGAGCTCCATACTTTCAGAACATTTTATATTAGTTTATACAACTTATAACCATTATTTTTTCAGTCAATTCCTCGAGCCAGCCGATCGACCACAAAATTTCTGGACGATTTAGTGACCAAACTCGAAACTGGCGAATCCCCAAACGAACCGGAGAAGAGATTGATCGCCAAAGCCTGTGCTCCCCCTCTGGAAAGACATTCTTTGCATCGAGGGTTGACTTGGAGAAGAGAGGCTCGACGTTATCTGACCCATCTCTTCAAACCTTATCCTCAACTTCAAATTGTAAGCAAGGAAGAGCACTGGGCTTTTTTGGTTAGCAATTTATTCAGAAACCGATCGAGGAGGTCTTAGATTTGATATCAAAAACGAGTCGCAGAGATATACAAATAATCTTGGTTTTAGAACGAGACCTTTTGGAATTTTTTGCGATAAAAAATGAGATTTTTTAAATTTTTTTGAGACCTTTTGAGATTCAAAAAAGGTCTCAAAAGGTATCCCGAAAAGTTTTTTTTCAATAGAATCTCTTTTGGACTCACTGTGATAACTTTTTCATATCAAATTTTGGATGACTTTTCGATCATATTTTTTAGCAACGCGGGCGGAACTTTGCATATTATATTATACTAGAAGCTCTCTCATTTTCCCAATTTTTAGCCTGATTTTGTCTCCAATTCTGGCGATGCTGAAGATCCAGGCTTCATGATGAGCAGATTAAGACTTGACTACCGCCAAAATGATCTGAAACGACGAGATTTACTGCTAAATTTGATTAAAAACTAATGGTAGGTCCTTTTTTTCAGCGATTTATCAAAGTTCTTCAATTTTAGTTATCATTCGCCATGAAAGAAAACTCGAGAAAACGCAGCCCCGGTTTCCATTGCTATACGGTTTTAATGTTTATTGTTTCCAGTGACTTACAAATTTTTATTGTTGATTTTTGTTTTTAAAATTGTTGATTTTTTGTTGTTGTTATTTTGGAATGGGAATTTGAAAGACTTTTTTTTCTTCCGGATTTTTCTGACCTTGATTTTTTCATGACTGTTTTTGGATTTTTGCCCAGTCATTTGGCCCATTTTTTTGTTTTGTCGGTTTAATTGGCCATAATTTTTTACATAACCGGGCAGTTTTTGAATCTACCCGACCTTTCCGCTCACCTGGTCGAGTCAAATTCCAAATTCCGATCTCTATTGTTGTAAAATACAAGTTTTGTTATGAAATTGATAAATTCAGTTTTGGATGACTCTAATTTTCTGTCGGCAAGCGTTTTCACGCTGGAAATATTTTTTTGTTTTCCACTTTCCAAAAAATTTATACTATCCATGAAAATTGTTTGATCATTTTTCGGTTTTAGATGCCTCAGATACAAATTTTCAGTGTCAGAGGAGCTCTTTTAGTCACCATTCAATGTTCAACCGGTGATACGGTCAAGGAATTGGTGAAAAATGCGATGGAATCGAAGAAACTTCGATTTGAAGAGGCCAGGTGTCTAAAACAACAAGAAAAAGATGGAAATTGGGCTAAAATCAGGTGGAAAGACAAGGTTGGCGACGATGATAGTGTCTATCGGATCACTAAAGACCCACAGAAGGTAAAATCATTGAGTTTATTTTGGCTATTTTTCATTAGTTATTGTTGAAACATCGGGTTCGAGTTGTTGATTACGATGGGGAAGAAGTTGCTCTTCTCCCCACAAAATCCGGGAAATTTGTGAGAAATATTGTGGATGACGTCTGTAGGCAACTGGACATCGAGCTGAGGCATGTCTATGTGGTTGAATTGATGAGAAATGGAAAGATTTCTGTTGCGAAAAAGAATGAGGAATTGGGCAGAAACGATTATTTGATGGTTACGGTGGACGCGGAGGAGAGGGTAAAGACGTTTTCAGAGGTTTTTAAGATGATTGTAGAAGCACTTGGATTGATGTGAATTTCAGGAAAGTGTTGTGCTTGAAAAGGCGAGCCGGTTTTGCCAAAATGTCTGACGTCACTCACTTTGAAGGAACTTTTACTCAATTATAAGCATGTAAGTGGATGGTTTGGAGTTTGGGTTACGGAATCGGGCCGGATAGGCGTCGCACATCAACCACAAAAAAAAAAGTTTCAAATCGGGAAAACTGTTTGCATAACTTTGTTAGGGTGCCCAAGGGTAGCTCAAATTAAAAATTGGAAACGAGTCGGACTGACCAAAAAATAGTAGTAGTAGAAGATTTGAAAACCTTATTTTAGACATCTTTTGCTGCTAAATCGTTTCGTAACGAAGCAATTGCCTAAATTCTTTTTTCTGCGAGCATAATTAGAGTAGTTTTAGAGAACTATAAGCAACCCTATGTCATATACTAGCTTACTCACTCAAAATTCCAAAAAAACTGATATTTAGGTGACTAAAATAATATTTTTAAAATCGGTAAATTTTGACTCAGCTAGGTCCACTATGATCTAAAAAGACAATAAGAGCATAATTAGTGGCATCCGCACCAGTTTAGAAGCTGTTCTAAGAACCTTGTTTTAGGTGATATTGGCCATTTTTGAAATTGGCGCAGCGAAGTTGAAACTAACTCCAAAACCTCAGTATAGCCTTAGAAAGCCATCTCAACTCACATATATAGTTTTAAAACTTTGACTTCAGTCATAAACTTTCATTATTTTTTGTATAAGATCAGGTATGCTACTATAAGGTAAAACTTTTTTTCGGCCTAAGAGTTAAAATTTTTGCAATTAATCTGCCTTAACAGGATGTTATGAGATAATATAGTTAATTAATTAGACTATTTAACGCTGTCGGACATTAAAAGTTGCCTAAAGTAATATAATCCATAAGGTAAAAAGCTTAAAATCGCATCTACTTTTTTATTATCTGTCCGATTTGCCTCAAATTTCGCATACTACCTTAGAATACAATATTCTGAAGATCGTTGCAATCATTTTCCGTGTTTCAATCTTTTTAGACAAGTTATTCGGCCGCAAAGTTTGCAAAAATTCGATTTTCTCCGGCCGTTTGTCGCTAACCTGTTGGCCGAAGAACGCCAAAATCTATTAATTTAAAAAATATGGGTCCTTGGCAATGTTTTAATCGCAGGTTCATGTTATTTTGTTCATTACCCACTGCACAGTAAGCTAAAACATTAGAGACCCTTAAAAAACCGAATGCCAAAAATCTTGGCATTCTGTTTGTGGTTGATGTGCGTCGCTTGACTTTAATTTTTATGTTTTGGGCCATTTGTTTTTTTTTTTATTTTTTTTCTGGAACTCATCTTTCTGGACCAAAGTACAGTGGAGGACCTGATCCAGTGACAAAAAACGTACCATTTTGCATCCGGGAAGTATCAGAAATGTGGCAAAATACCTCCCTCTCCAAGTGAGAAAACTTCAATTTAAAAATCGCGCCCGTTCTTTTTGTGAGGGTCTAGGCGGGCTTCGAAACGTATTTTTAGTTGGAGAAGGAGAAATTTTGCTACATTTTTTGATACTTCCCGGATGCAAAATGGTACGTTTTTTGACTGTGGATCAGGTCCGTCACTGTAGTCAGAAGAGCCCTGAGATTTTTAATTAAATTGCGACCTTTAGCTTAAATTTGGATGGATGGGAGAAAATCATGGCCAACGTGGTTGGTTAATTGTCTGAAAAATTGACTCACTCAGTCAGTTTTGTGGCCTAAAATGACACTCTATGATCGATAGCATCAACTTTCAAAAGTTTGATACGAAAAAGACTTGGCCTCTTTTTTCTCTGACTCTCTCTCCTCATTTCACTGACTTTCTCGTTTGCAAAATTTGTCGAAAAATTAAAATTTTACCTTGCTTTTTATTCAGCCCAAAAGTGACGGAGGGGGATCGACCACGATAGATCTGGACCCCAAAGAATTACTGAGGAAATTGGAAAACGGGGAGCCCGCTACGAAAGCGGAGACACGTCTCCTCGCGAAATGCACCGTCCCTCCGCTGCGGGCTCACTGTTTGAAACGAGATAAACCCGCTCGAGGCGAGAGTCGACTCTACTATTCCAATATCTTGAAGCCATACCCTCAACTTCACGTTGTAAGCCATATTTGGAGTTTTTCCACAAAAAATTTAGGTCGATTTTGTCTCCGACAATGTGAACGGCAGTCTGATTAATGACATTGCGCGGACGGACAACATTGTAATCAATAAGAAGCGAAGAGCCATGCTTCAGGCCATAAAAAGCTGAAATTCAGGGTTTTTTGTATAAATTTTCTCGAAATATGCCTTTCCGATCATGTTGAGCAAGTGCTAATGTTGATCTCATTTTCATATTTGTTTTTTTTTTTATTATTTTTTTGTTGCCGCAAGGCTTTTTATAAACTTTTTTGTTGACTTTTCTCTCCAGTTCGCCCATTCGTTCGCGCCGAACCAAGCTCTTTTGAAAGATCGAAACAGCGTGCGTCTGTGGTGTAATGGTCAGCATGGTTGCCTTCCAAGCAATCGACACGGGTTCGATTCCCGTCAGACGCAGAAGTTCTTTTTTGGCTGATGTCGGAATTCCCTGCATGTAAATGGTTAAAATTACTCTTTAGTCGTCTATTTTGCTTCAAATAGGAGTCGGATTGTAGTATTTTAGGCAACTTTTTAGCAAAAATTTTGATCTTTTTTGAGAAGTTCATCAGTTTTAGGCCAAATTTTAGTAAATAATGTTTATTGCTTTCTCGAAATTATACCAGACAACATAAAAATACACTCGATTTATATATATTGGGTGTGAAAGTAAGTAGAGCGACAATGTCAGATTACTGTAACAAAATTATAAATTCAATGGAAAGTGAGGAATTTGAATTTTTTGGTTTCATTATTACACTTTGGGTTGTATTATTACTATGGGCATGGGAAAAGTTTGGCGGTGGTAAGAGGGGACTGACTGTGGACCAGGGTTAAGTATCGCGAAGAAAAGGGGTTACTGTAGACACCGAAGAGATTGAAACGGGGTTCAAATGGAAGAAAATTACAGTAGAAGGGTTACTGTAGCCCAGAAAATAAAAATTGGTGGAAATACAGTAAAATTTAAAGAGATAAAAGGAAAGGAGTACTGTAACATAAAATTTGAAGGGTTTTTGAGGATACCGTAACAAAATTTTGGGTTACTGTAGCTAAAATTTATGTTACTGTAACAAAAATTAGGTTACGGTAACCCAAAATAATGTCCAAAAATTTTGTTACAGTACCCTACGGACCCTGAAACTACCAAATTATGAAGATTTAAGTACTTTTAAGGCCTCTGAGAAAGAAGTTTTTATGCCGAAGTTACAGTAAGACTTGTGGTTGGTTAAGATTATAGGCGTTTAATTAACTGGGTATTTTCTTTGGATTCAGGCGTCACTCGAGAGATCAGATCACAGTTTTTGGTAAGACAGTTATTACTTTTTTTTGGTGCTACCGTATGACGGGATTACTGTCGAATAGAGTTTACTAACAAAAAAAAAAAACTATATAAAGATACAACAGGGATGAAAAAGAAGTTTTTGGATACTATAACTCATTTCGACCAAAAATTTGGGTTACGGTAGATGTTACAGTATGCCAAAAACGGACCGAAAATTTGACGATTCTTGAGAGATAGATGGGGGAACTGAAGAGAGTGGGAAGAGAGACCCGGTTGGCTGAGTATTATTTGCAGATCGTTTCCTAGATTTGAAGCCTTAAACGGAGCTGGTGGAGCAAGTTGAGGGCGATTGGAAGACTTGACGCTTGGCCTTGTGCGAGGACTGGTCGCAGTGGGATCGGTAGTCGTCCTGGAATACAAATTTTAGAATAATGAAAAAATTTTTAGGACATTTTCACATTTTTTTTGGGATTACGGCAACTTTCAGCAAAAAGAATTTTTTGTTACCGTAATTTTTGCCAAATTTTTTTGGGTTACTGTAACATTTTCAAAAAATTTTTGGGATTACGGTAACTTTCAACAAAAATTTTTTGGTTACTGTAATTTTTTGCAAAAAATTTTTTGTGAAATCTCAAAAAATCCAAAATTTACCTGTGTTCCAAACTTTTGCCCGCAGGGGATGCACTCATAATGCTGCTGAATGAGTCTGAAAACCCCATCGCATCCCTGGCAAATCAGTTTTTGATGGTTTTTCAGCCACATTTCCTGTTGGAACACCTGAGAACACTGCGGACAAGCCCATCCAACTTCAGACTCCACAATTGTGCCGCATTTGAAATCCTCGTCGCACACTTTTAGGGCCAAATTTGGGAGTTCCAGGCCGTCTTGGGTGAAAACCGTGGACGAATTTCCCTTGGCCAGGTCGGCCGCAATCTGGGTCATCACTTTTTCGGGGATTTGAAGGCATTGAATGGGAGTGCCAAGCATATTTGGGTCCATTAGAGCTGAAACCGGTGTTTTAGAAGGTATCCGAAAATTTTATTCGTTAACTTTCGGCTATGGATAAATCCTAGGCTTTTTTACACTAAAAAATCTCCATGGACGAAAGTTTATGACTAAATTTTAAAAATGTCGCTAAAACATTACAGTATCCCCAAATCTTTTCAAAAATAGATGTCACTAAAATTAGAAGCCCCAACTTACTGTATAAGAGTGGGTTCAGCGCGACATCCTCACTAGGCCCTCCGTCCTCGCCTTCTCTTTTCATACTCTTCGGCCGTTCAATTGGCTCCTCATTCCCTCGCAATTCAGCGCCCTTTTCCTTGACCTTCCCAATATGCTGTGAGGAGAAGATGTGATCTTGGATGGTTAGACGCCCGTTGAAGTCGATTCCACATTCCACACATCCGGTTGGGTGGGTGGAACAGAGCCCTTCCTCGGTGATCGCTCCCATCCCGCACTTCCGTTGTTTGGCGCGTGCGTTCTGGAACCAGACTTGGACCACACGTTTGTGCAGGCCAATCTCTCGGCCAAGAACTTCGCATTCCGACATGGAGGGGGTTTTGTAGTCGGTGAAGAGGGATTTCATCACCTGTAAAGAGAAAAAATAGAAAATTTGGGGGAAATTGGAAAAAACGAAGATTGCGGGGAAATTACAGTAATCCGAGGGTAATTTGTGGGTTCTAAACACTGATTGAACATTACCAAATGTAAAGATATATTTGGATTTTAGGTTGTGAGGCAAAATTCGGGTGATATTGGACTGATATTGTATTAGAGACATCAAATCTGATGTCTTTCCAAAAAAGGGCCATTTCTCAGAAATTACTGCAACTTTTATCCTGATTTTGAAAGTAATCAACCTTCATGGTCTCCTCTATATAATCAGCCCATCAAAACTTACATAGACTTGCAAGGGTGTGAGGTGTGTTCGATATCTTTTGGGTCCCCCTTGACTGGCACTGCTCCCATTGGCCGGGCTCCTCTGCATTCCTGAGCCCATCGCCGATCCCAGCGGTGATCCGAAAGCACTGAGCAGGGCATGAGGACTAGCTGAGAGGGCTCTGAAGTCGAAGCTTCCATTGGAAGAGAACTCATCGGCCTCCTGATTATCATTTAGGTCATCAAATGGGGAGCTCGATTTCCTCGGGTCCTTCTGTCTCAAATCCAACGGGGATCCTCCAGTTAGCGCGCTAATCGTTCCTAGTAGGCCCTCGGTAGTCGACAGAGACTCATCCGCCTCCGGCAGATTGTCCACATTCACCGTGGTGGCCAGCGGATTATCCGAATGCTGATGTGCAATATGATTGCTCATGGAGTCTTTGGAAGTGAACAGATTGGCGCAGAAGGGGCAGCGTTTGGAGAACTTTTTGTGCTGCGCCTGATTGGCGAACATTTTCATCAGAGCCTCGGAGTCGGCGGCGCCGGTGATCAGTTTCAGGAGGTCCTGAGGGGTGTTGTTGTTGTCATGAGAATCTTTTCGTTTGTCCTCGTCGGTTTGACTCGACGAAACGGGCTTCTGACGCTCCTCTTCGGTCATATTCTCTTCGACCGACTGAAAAAATCAATTTAACAATTAAAAAAAAAAATTTTTTTGATATAATTTTAGCCAACTCACTTTGTTGTCAGTGTTCTGCGCGTCGGTATCGTTCGCATAACAGACCCGTTGTTGATGCTGAATCAGCTCGTAATAGCGTTGAAAGACCAGTTGACATCTTTTGCACTGGAAATTGCAACCGGGAGTGCGAATGAAACGGTCCGTATTGTCCTGATTCGGCTGGTTTTCGTAGATTTTTCGCGCCTGAAACTTGGAAAATGAAGCTTCGGAATGGTAGACCGTATTTTACATTATTTAAAACATCGGAAAATTAAAAATTTCCCAAAAAAGCTTCAATTTGCCCAAATTCCCAATCTGCACAAGATCATCAATATGCCCAAAATCCATTATAAAAGCCTGTAGTTGCCTCAATAGTCGCAAAAAATCGATATTTTTTCCAAAAATCCTAACTTGCCGAAAATTCCCAATCTGCCCAAAAATCCAAACTTTGTCCAAAATCCATTAGAAAGACCTGCAGTTACCCAAAAAATCGGTATTTTATCCAAAAATTTCAATTTGCCCAAAATTCCCAGTCTGGCCAAAAATCCCAATTTGCCCACCAAAACTTTTGTACTCACCTTCTGCCGGGCATTCTGGAACCAGACCACAATTACCCTCGGGCTCAGGCTCAACTTCTTGCTCAGCATTTCCAGATCATCGTCTTTTGGGTAGGCCTGTCGATCAAAGAACTCCTGAAGAGTCCGCAGCTGGAAATCGGTGAATCTTGTTCGATTCGCCCTTCTTCCAGTCGAATTTCCACTTGATTTCGATTGCTGCGAGACCATGGGGATGACGGAATTGAAGCCGTTCATCAGCTGAGCCAACGGGTTTTGGTTCATCTGGCTGGATTCCTGCTCCAAGAAGCTGGCAAAGGGGTTCTGCCCAGCTAATGCAGCATAATTGGGGATCTGATTGAAGGCGGCAGCGGCTTGTGTAAGATTGGCGAGGACATCCTGTGCCAGATTGGTCTGTTCTTCGGGGGTTTTGGAGCCTGAGTCTGATTTTTCGTCGGGTTTTTGGTCCTCCTCATCTTTTAGATTGATAATTTTGGCCTCACCGGTTTTCTCGTACGTGTCCAAGTCGATGCGCATCATGGGTTGGACATTGAAGTTGTAGGGGGAGTTCTTGTCGCGCTGTCTTTCCTTGAACAGAGTGTTCCGGAACCAGTGTTTGATCACCTTCTCCGGCAGCCCCGTCTTGTTGCTCATTTCCTTGATTTGGAGTTCCGTGGGGCTGTTGTTGATGTCGAAATATTGCCGGAGGATCTTCAGCTGATCGTCCGTGATCCGGGTTCTCGCCCGTTTTTGGCTGGCCGAGTTCGGACTCGGACTGTCGGGCGCAGCCTGCGTACCCAACATCGAAGCGAAAGCGGCCTGAAACATGTCCGGCGACATGTTGACGAACGGATTGTTGTTCATGAACGGCAAATTCATCATTTGCGACATCAACTCGGTCTTGAATTCGGATTTCGCCTCAGGCAATTTTTGTCCCGACGCCTTGGAGTTGTCGGATCGGGCTCGTTTCGGCTCAGGAGGGCCATCCTCGTCCTCATTTTCGATCAAAACATCGTCGCTGACTTCATCGACCGCTTTTTTCAGGTTCTCCGCGAACTGTTGGATCCCGTCGATGGGCACGGAATTCTTGTTTATGTCGTCGAACTGTTGCCGCAACTCCAAGATTTCGTTATCGGGGATGAAATCGATCTTCTCCTTCTTCAAATCGTCAACGAATTGAGACACCAATTCGAAGCCGTAGCCTTCCAGAGAGCGACGGAAATCCTGGCCCAGCTTGCGCGGCTTCGGTTTCTCCTCGGATTTGGAGTCTTGCCCGTTCAAAATGGAGCTCAGATCAATGCCATTGTTCTCACTGAGGTCTGAAAAAAAATTCTGATGAATTTTAGAAATTTTTTGGAAAATATGGTTTTCGTGGTGAGACCAAAAATCAAAAATTTTTTGTATTTTTTCTTAATTTACAAAAATTTTATGGTAAAATACGAACCGATGTCAATTTTCCGAAAATTTTAGAGCCTCTAAAGTAAAAATTACCAAAAAAATTCAAAAATTTAAATTTTAAAAAAATTTGAATATTCAAATCCCAACTCACCGAGCCCGGAGTCCGTTGCAGAGGTGCTGGGGTTCTGTGCGAGCTGCATGAACTGTGCCATGTTCAGGATATTCATGAAATTTACCGGGTTTTCGGTGGAATTCATGTCCGAGGCGTCAGCCTGAAAAAAAGAAAATTAGTGTTGTTACAGTAATCCAATATCAAAAAAAAAAACAATTTTCCACGAGAAGAGAAAAGAATTTGAAGTAAAATACGCTGTCTCTTCACTGCCAAAAATTAAAAAATTTTTTAAACCTCTAAAATTTCCCAAAAAAAAACTAAAAAATCCCGGTCCATGACGGCATTACGGTAATTTGGTCGGCGGAAATGGGTCGCGAAACTCATTAGGCGAGCGTGTGTTGGGGCGCTGATCAGGCGCTCGCTTGTTTGGTCATGGATAAGAGCAAACACGCGCCGAAAAGGGGGTTTGTTTGGTTTCTCGCGCACGAACTGGCAAAATCATCAAGATTATGAGTCAGGTGGCTGGAGGGGTTATTCCTGGGCGGTGAATAAGGTGCTGGTCACTTTATTTCGGGGCTTAGGCAAGGTTTTTGGTGGATTAGGAGGGATTGGCCGAGGAGGTGAAGACTTGACCCAAGAGACGACAAGAGTTGTCTCAAAAGGGAAAGAGGGAGTAAAAATGAAATACTGCCTATAAACGATGACTATGAGTAATTTTTGGCAACTTTCCTACTGTATTCTCAATGTTGAACAGCGAGGGAAACACTTGACCCAAAATGTAAAATTCGGCCAAAAAACAAAAAAAGTCGTGCTTCAAAAATTCTATGTGATCCAATCACCTCAATGACGTTAAAAAATTATGTAATATTTAACAACCGTAGTAGAAAACCCTAATTTGAAGCGCAATTGCAGTGCAACACTTGGCCCAAGAAGCAAATTAGCCATTGAATCCGCTAATCCACCCATCCCGAGTCCGGAATCCCTCGAGAATGCGTAGTACACCCCATCCTTCACAGCCGCCAGCCCTTTCTTCCCCTAATACCCCCGCTTAAAATGATTGGTTAATGTAAATAAAAGCCGCGTCCGAAGGTATTTGTGCGGATCCCGGGTTTAACGAGCCAAAAAAGGACCCAAAAGCATTAAAACATAATAGCTAGCCCTCCTCGCCTCTCTCCCCCAGCCTCTCCGCTTCCATTACCATCATCACCTTTTATTTCCAGCCCTTAACTTTTGAACAAACAGCCTCAAAAATTTCGTGGATAAAAAACTCTCTTCCGATTTCCAAATTACTCTTGCGAAAGGATGAGGAGATGGAATATGGTGTGGAGCGCATAGTTATGGAGTGCAGGAGAGAGTGTGGGAACTGGAGAGGGCACATGCAAAAGATAATATTAAGTTTGAGGAAAGTTGCAGACCAATTTTGGATATTACACTTGACATCAGATGGTCGGTCAGAAATTAGGCCCAATTTAATGTTAAGACCAGTATCGTATAAGCTCCCAATTACTAGTACTGATAGCTGAGATCTCTGCAACATCTAGAAAAAAGTTTTCTTGACCCCAACTTAGTCATAGGTAAAATACGGTTGTAGCAAGTTGTTGGTCTAGACACCAAAATCAAAAATTAACTCCCTCTAAAAGTACCACCTAAAAATTATTGTCAATCCCTCAGCTCCGCACTGATCTATACGACTAATAATGACTCTCGCTGCCACGGTTTTATTGTCTATCCCGCAGCCCGGAAAACAAATTAAACTTCCATGAAGAGATGGATCTAATTCGATATCCATCATCATCCAGGAAGAGGCACTCAAATCAATTGCCCGGGCGGGTCCTCTCTTTCAAGTCGGCTACGGGAATTGCGAGGGAATTTGAAGGTATTAGGTGAGGGAAATGAATTACGATCGGTTAAAATATGATGCCATAAGGGTCTGGGGGCTATTCATTTTTCCATTTTATCGTAATTGACAGCTCTAATATCCAAAAAATTTGGATTTTTCTTCAGTTTTCGGCAAATTTTGGAATTTTTTATTTTCGCCCGTTCGGCCGCGTATTCAACATATTGCTATATTTTGCAGCTGCAGCATGATCTACACCCTCTAATCTTTTGAATAATATCAAATTCGTATTTTACCCGCAGCCCTCTACCGTATTGCGCAACATTTTTCGCCACCCACCTTCTTCTCTAATGAGCATCTTAATTAGCCCTCTCTTGATTGGCTGGGCGGCCCACAGGCGCTTAAGACGAGTGGAAGGGGTGGGCTTTGTCTTGGGGTGGCAAATGAGAGAAGGAGAAGGGGAAATACGGCGAGAAAGATAACCAAAAAATGAAAGAAGGGGGAATAATTAGAAAAATGAGGAAATGGATATGGTAGAAGAAGATTTTAGGGGTCTAATGAAGATATTATGGAGAGAAAAAATGTAAAATACGTTGAGAAAGTTCTTTTTCTATTTTTCTCCAAAAAATCTCATTAAAAAATAAGTTACAGTATCAAAAACCAGCCTTATCAGGCCCAAAAACTCTCAAAATTCCATCAACACCCCCTATCAGCCCAATTCTAGCCCCGAAATCCTCGGAAAGGAAAGCAAACCATACGAATTTATGAATGTGGAAATGTTTTTGATTACTAATAAAGTAATCAAAAGATAGCGCAAAAAACAAATTATGGATTTCTATAATTTCTTCGCTGATTTTTATTGTCCCATACATAAATTAATCATTATCATTTGTATTCCGCCACGAATTTACGATCAAGAACGAAACCGGGAAGGGATTTCGTCAGGTTTTGGGGAGCACTAATTTGTTTGGCTTACTGTGGAGAATGGGTGGGGTAAGGGAATATAAAATTTGCTGTCTGGGATAGTTTGAGACTTTAGTTTTATAATATTCTCGTCTTACGTCAATATTGTCAGGCAATTGCCTCAAAAAATCGATTTATATTCACCTTGACCACCTGATGGACAAGAGGAAAATAAATGATCGAAATGTGGCAACAATGACTCAGAATCGACGTGGTTTCATAACGTGGGGCATAAATATGACATGAACTTTTAAACTAATAAATATATAACCTAATAAACCTATAATATGACGGCTATCACAACCTTTCTCATCAGCTGATCAAGTATAACTGCCCCAAACCCTCAACTTCCATCGAAATACATACCTATTCGAATATTCATCCGTCATAATAACCCACAAACAACTACATCTCCCAATTACAGCCGCCACAAAGTCCAATTACCCATCAAAAACGCCGGTGGAATCGTAATATCCGCCCCGCTAATAACAATACTTTTTTTTAATTCTCGCGAAAAAGTTGGCGTTACCGGCTGCCCCCACAGCCCTCTCCCGTCTCATCGAGAGTCGGAAAATGAAAATGAATCAAAAACTAATCAGCCTGAAAAAACGAGCCCCGTGCCCTCTAATCCCCGCCACCAATCATGGAGAAGCGAAGAGGGGGGACTACTCTCGAAATTTGTAATATTTCATCCCATTTTATGCGTATTACATAATAAGTTGGGGCTGTGATGGGCTGGGAGAGCATTTGGTGGGGTTCCCAGAGACTTAGAGGTTTTCGTGGTGGGACCCAAAAACGCAACTCTTCAGCTTGAAATAAGCTCTTCCCAGAACTCTATACAACGTATTTTACAATAAGACTATTTCTATTTCGCATTTTATGCAAATTAAAATTCTCCCCGGTTTTCGTGGCGGGACCCAAAATTAAAAAAAAAAGTTGCGTAAAACCCCATAATTTAAAATATTTGACGGCTTCGAACCAATAGAAAAAATTTGCCCCGTCAGTATCCCAAACATTCGTTATAAGGCCAAAAGTTTCGAAAAATCCCAAAAAATCTCGTCTAATTTCCTCCGGCCTACGATACGAAAGCCCTGCGGCGCATCTAATGGCGCGGAATTATTTTGACAGGCCCTCTTGGCCCCAAAAACTTTGCACACAAATTTATAAATTGGTTTTTATCGGCCCGCATCTCCTCCAGCCATTCCTCGTTCATAAATTCATTTTTTTTTGGCGCGGCAAATAACCAAATTTAATGCCTCCGGGAATGAGGCGACTTCTGATTCCGCGGGCGCCTCCTCCTCCCCGTCCCATTGCGACATTATTATTCCCGCCACCAACCAACGCCATATGCGAATGTAAATGGGGAATTAGGGAGGGGGAATTGATTGAGGGGCTCAGTTCGCTTAACAAATGGCCAAATTAAAGCGGCCAAAGCGCGACGGCCCGGGGATTTGAGGGCCGTTGCAGAAGTTTGGACTCCTTATTCAGGGGGTTAACGTGTTTTACAGCGCCATATTTTTTGTGATGACTAAATGTTAGGCCGAAAAAATTGAATATTTATCAAAGTTTTTTTGGGGAAAATTGCGAAAAATCGATGAAATTCGTCAAATAAATGTTTCAAAAAGTTATTTTAACCCTTTGGAATTATTGATACTACTGTATCAGTTTGATTTTGATACAATTTAGTCCCGATTACAGTAGTTATAAACAATTTTTGGCCAAAAAATCCCTAAAAAGTCAATAAAAACAAAAAAATCGATTTTAAAAAGCAATTTAAAGCCTTTCAAATTGTAGACAGTACTGTAAAAATCCCTCTGCAATCCAATTTAGCTATAAAAAATTTCAGTTTTTACCAAAAAATCGCAAAAATCTCAAAAAATCGCGCGATTTTCGGAGAAGTGGGGTTAAAACTTTTTTAAACGTTCATGTCCTCCGTCGCCCGAGTCCCCCATTACCTCGACAATAAATTACCACGTCGGAAAATATTAACTCTTTCCCCCCTCCATTCCACAATACAATTTTAATTACGACTTTTGGGTGGAGATAATTAACGCAACAAGAGAGGCGAGCAGCACCTCCTGAACATATTAATATAATTGTCAAATCATTCCATTCCGACCACCTTTTGATGCGAGAACGAAACGACAAATGATTGGGGGAATTGTAAGAGTCCAAGTAAGTAAAGTAATGGCGGGTTTACAAGGGGAAATTGAGATGAAAAATGAGTAGTTTCGAGGAAAGCAAGTGGGTATAATGAGGTAGAAAGGAAGAGGGAACTGTAAGAAGTTGCATACTATATCAAATCATCCTATTATATAGCGTATTTTACAAAAGTAAATTTTTTTTGCTAAAATCAGCTTATTTTTTGACCAAAACGGTAAAGTAAGGACTTAAAATCAACAACTCGTAGCTTGGCGGGACGTATTTTACCAAACAAAGCCCACTTTTCAAAAAATAACGTCCGTATTTCACCTTTTAAAAACAAAAATTTTTTTAAATCTCAAAAAAAAACTCAAGTTATGCGAAAACCCTGCAAAATCTTGGATAAATACGGTAAATAAAAACCATATCTTATACTGAAGTCTAGATCAGATGCTGTCCCTTCGTATTTTACCTTATAACATACTTTTTTCCTTCAAAAAACCCCCGAAATTTACATTTTTCCCAAAATTTCAAACCCATCAAATTCTTCCAAAAATCAAAATCAAGCAATTGCGACTACCACACACTTTACATCTTGTAATTCTTTGCCCATTACCTAGCCAACGCCCCAACAAAAAAGGGTACCTTCGCCCAAAAAAGCACAAATTTGAAACCTCTTGATGGCGATTACCTTTCCTCCCCAAAAAACCCACAAAAAATCGCAGTAAAACCCGGGGCTTCTGGGCCGGCAGCAATTAAATTGCAGTGAGGAGGCGAGACGATAATGAGAGTCGAATTTTTGTGCGAATTCGAGGTCCCCCCAACCCGAAATTAGGGGGCTGCGAAGGTCGAGCGCCGCTAATTGGACCAAGCGCCGAAATTATCAGAGTTTGGCGGGAGGAAAGCCGCGAAATATTGTAATTCAATTACGCTGGAGATGGTACACCTTCTTCTCAACACTTTTGAAGGCTATAGCAAGCGAGTGGGCAAGGGAATTTGAGAGATTTAGAGAAAAAAACCAGAAAAATCATCACAGTTTGGAGGGAAATGTGTTTTGCAGTGAGCAGATTACTGGTTACTAATCAAAAATGATTATAGAAAATATCATGCGGTCCTGTCAGATCGAATAGAGTCGATATTCACTAATTCTAATCGGATTTTGATTACCAAATCAGCGAGGGAAATGAATCAGAGGGCGGGTCGTAAAGAAGGGTTTGGAAATCGCAAATTTGCATAATTCTCGAAGCGCAAATTGATCTTAAATAATGGATAAGGTCATAGAAGGATGTGTGCAAGTAAAACAAAATCAAATATTTCTCAGGTTTTCGCTGTGAGACCAAAAATAGGAAATAAAGCTAAAAATCGGACATTTTTTTAAAAGAAGGAATTCTTCAGCGTATTTTACAAAATCAAAAAGACAAATAGATGCTAAAACACGCTCTTGTACCTATTAAGGCAATTCCAACTTTTGATCCCGACAGAAATCACGTCAAATGGTCGATTTGCCCCCCTCTTTCATAATTGGTTAATTTTTCGCCCGCCGAAACTCCCAAATACAATTATAATACCCCTGTAAAGAGTAACGAAATGATGATTGTTCAGAAACAAGAGTGTTGTGTTGCTCATAATAACACCGGCGGGCGACAATTAAAGCGGCCTTTGCCACGGTGCACTGGCTTCGGAAAGAGCGGGCTAAATGAGGATGGTGATGATTTTTGGGGGAGGCAAATGAGCAAGTTCGGGGATTTGGAGGAAGGCTAGAGGATTTGGAAGCCATAATAGGAAAATTTGGAAAGAATTTAGGCTTAATTAACTAAACAAGCCATTAAAAAATCAATTATGAAGCAAAAAATTGTGTCTTTCGTGCAAAACTCGATGATTTCAACTAAAATTCGGTAAAATACGACATAGCGAAAGTTTCTTACAGTATCCCACTATCTTCTAAACTGTTTACTAATCTTAATTTCCCAAAAAATATTTTCTAAAATACGATTTTCAGCCAAAACCCGCTCACAACCCACGAAGTTCTAATTTGGTCCGGGAAATGCGTCAGCATGACGTCAATGTCAACAAAATCCTCAGAAAATCATGAGCCGCGTCAAATCAAGCCCCATAAAAGCCGCGGCGCACACTTTGCCCGCAGGCAATGACCACAAATCCCCAATCAAACAAATGAATCGTTTCCGAATAAACGACCACAAAAAACATCGTCCTTCACCCCTCCCTGACTTCACCCCAACCCCTCCGCTTGACGCTCACCCCAGCCCTCGGACCCCACCCTTACCCCTGCAGCAAAAGAGAAAGCGATCGAATCGACCTCCGAGCCATGAATTCCCAATTAAAGTCGTCTCGTAATGAGCCCTAATTTCGATTCATTGAGAGGCGAGAGCAGCGCCGCCACCACTACTATTTATTCCAACCCCTAACTCAGAAATCTATTTATTTGTCGCATGATCCCCGCAGCCGACTCTAAGCCGGCTGAGGGCGCCGCTTCTTGACAATCGCGGCTCTCTTCCGCGGACATTAAGACCGTTCGATGTCAAGTGTAATATCGGGAGGGAAAACAAAGGCGTTGACAAGCTCATGGTATTAGCTACATCTCTGTGATATTATCGACCGCTTTGATCAAAAATTGCGGGAAACAAATTGAGTTTTCATGAAATTTCGGCTGATATTACACTTGATGTGAAGTGTAATATAATGGCAAAAATCTTTTAAAAAATGGAAGAAAATTGTTCCTAATAGCACCAAGGCATCCTATAGACTGTAATTAACGAAAAAATTCTGCACCAAATCCGATTTTTCACCTACTTTCGGCTGATATTGTACTAGGTACCAAGTGTAGTATAACAACTAAAAAGATAAGAAATGTAAACCAAAAGCTATAAAATAGATCTCAAAGGTCGTATTTCGAAATACAAAAGCCTTTTCTAACAATTATCAACCCTTTTATCCACCAAAATCACCCATCTTCCTCATGGATAATATAATTTTCCCAACCGATCAGAACGCGAAAATTATCATTCGAAACCGACTCCACACCTGCGTATGCCACCCATGTGGCATCGTGATTACCGTAATGCAAATTGGTCGTAATAAAAATAATCGAAAAATTATGGAATTTCTAATGAAAAATCAATCCTCGGCCTTTGTGGCGGCGCGGAGGTTTTGTTCGCGCGACCTCCCACGATCCCATTTGCGTCGCCACACCTTGTCCTCTTCCCATCTTAATCATATTTGCGCTCATTTGCATAATTTTTGGCATTTTACAAAAAATATGAAAAATGAGGGAATTTTTTTGAGGAAAATCGCCTAAATCAATATAAAAACCACACAATTCTGGGCGAAATTTGACGTCGAATCAAAGAATAGGACTCTGACTTTATGGAAAAACCAATTTGGCCCCAAGGAAGTTGCGAACATTACAGTAATTGGGCCGAAAACGTCAGAAGCTCGTCAAAAATCGGAGCTGAAATCAAATCCCCGCCGAACACCGATTTAATCCACTCCCCAAGCGCGCAAATATAAACTATCAGCTGCGCTGACCGGATCGCAATATCCGATATCATGCCGCGCTGACAAATGAGGGCAATTCGAGCCAATCAACCCGGAATTGTGGAAGGCAAACAGCCACCTGGGAAGGGTAATATAAAAGGTCAATTTTTCGGGTAGAAACGAAGTAATAAGGTTATTACTGATAAAACTGTGGTCCGAAAAAGCTGCAATAATCGAAAAAAAATTGGAAATAAAAAAATATGGAAATTCGACAATAGAAAGACTTGACCCAAAAGGGGAAAACTTGACTCAAATTACGAATTTCGACCGGAAATGGCAAAAAAAAGGAAAAAACGTTGTGTAAAATACGCTGCCGACAAGTCTACATAATTTTTTTGTCATTACGTTCACAGAAACACTTGACTCATTTTCAAAAAACCCCAAAAATATAGCCAATATTTATACCCGACAAACTGAGCCCCGGAACCGGCTGCACACCTCATTCGGGCTCGTCAAAGATAACCCGCCAATTACAGCGCCGAAAAGAAAGGCGGGTTGTTTTTTTCGTAATTCAATTGGCTGGTGGTGAAGGTAAATGATAGGGTCCACTCGGGATTTTAATGACCCCGCCGCCATTTTATATGCTCATCAAATCTAAGCCCTCTAAAACACTCTATCCCACAGCGTTGGCCTTCAAATCGGCCAAGAAGAAGAGTTGACACAATGTGTCGACTCTTTCTCTGGGCACGAAATTCGAAGGAATGGCCAAGATGGACCGAATTGCGGGTCGTTTGGAGGTGCTATGAGTCAGGTGGATTAATGAAATAACCGCGTTTCATGACGCGGTATTATTTCCCTTCCCACTCGCCCGTTTTCGCTCAGTCAGCCATTATTATTATATTGTCTAAATGAATTATAAAAAAGGCAAACACTAGACAGGGAGAGGGCTGGAAATGCGAATCAAGTGAGAAATTGTGGGATTTCCAAGCAGGAGTGGTCAGAATTGCAAAAAAATTTTAGGATTGTACCGGGGAAAAAATAAAAATTTGTATATTAAAATATTACGCAATCTATGGCTGATGGTAAAATACGGTTTCTCCACAATCTACAGGGTGTACCAAAAAAATGGAAACTTTTTTTCATGGGTCCTGACGCGAAAATGGTTAGGTGTAGCCAAAGAAGTTTATTACTACAAAATTCTCTGTGTTTTTCTGTCCTAGTGGTTTGATTTTTATGCCCATATCGATTAATCGACCTGTTTTTCTGAACTTCAAACGAAGGGACCTCGATTTTGGACTTGTTTTTGGAGCTGTTCGAACAGTTAATTTTCTCGGTATAGAAAGAACGTTGTGTCAAAAGTAATCACGCGGCGCAAGGAGCTTGATACGGATAGTAAGCGCCCAGGAAGTGAAAGAAAACGCACCGCCAGCGCTTCTTTCAACCGGAAGATCCCCAACAGCAAAATCCGCGATTTTCAAGAAAAACTTTCCCTTGAGACTGACATCAGCGACCGATCAGTCGGCCGAATAGCCAAAGACGAGATCAATCTCATGTCATACAAGCTCTAAAAAATTCAGATCTTTAAAGTCGAGAGAAAGTGCGTACGGCACAAAAATGTCGGAAAGTCAAAGGGGCGGGCCGCAGCTCCGAGACGTGAGCGCATTCAGTTCGCGGTTCAATATTTGGCGGATACACAACCACCAGAACGATAGAATCTGCTTCAATGAAGCTCCTAGCCTGTTGGCCATCGTCGAATACCGCCAAATTCCGGGCCGTCATTGCTTAAGGCGGAATTTGTGCCAGCGGCAAGAAATCCATGTTTTTCGTGAATCAATGGGGCAAAACACTAGCGCCGCGTTAATTTCTATTTTGTCGTGCTTCCGTCAGCTCAGCAGAACCTTGGCAATGCAAACTTGGCGTTCCAACAGGACTCAGCGCCGGCTCACAGGGCAAAATCGACTCAGGACCCGAAATGGGACCGATTTTCCCGATTTTAACCCGTCTGCGAAATGGCCGCCTGCTCGCCGGATCTGAATCCAATGGACTATATTTTTTTTTAAGTAGAAGGCCAGCACCTGTACTACTCTCCACAAAAGTTTGGGGTCGCAAAGTAAATGCTGCGCCAAGAACGGGGCCGATTTCCCCCTTAAAAAGCTGCGGCCCGGAGCCCAAAATTTTACGTCACGTTTGGAGCTCTATATCGCCACCAAAGGCAGCCACTGTGAAACAGGTTGAACATGTTATAAACAATGCTCTATGTTACCAATAATAACCGTTACTTTTGCTGAATTTTGATTCTCCGAAAAAATATAGCTATAAAAACAAGTTTCCATTTTTTTGGTACACCCTGTATATTAATTTTCAGCATAATTTGCTTGGTTTTTTACCCCTTGGTTAAGAATATAAAAAAAATTGGACGAAATTTTCAATATGCCAGAAAAGCCCTGAGGGCATAGCTGAAGTCCTGAAATTTTCAAAAAGTGATGCGTGTGTCCTTTGTATCAAAAAATGTCTAAAAATAGCATTATGGCAAAATTATAAACTAATTTATGACATAGTTTTGGCCAATAGTCCAAAATGTCCATGGATAATATAATTGGCTTTTATTAAGCAAAAAATCAAATTTTTGGACACATGATAAACTTGAGGGCCTTTAGTATGACCCTGGCATTCTCTGTGATTAATTTTGTCCCATGCTAATGCCGAAACAACTGCGAAATTCGAGTTCTGCTTGACCCTTCCATCAACGAACCCACTATGCCGCGAAAAAACCGCAAGAACTTGGGAAGATAAATATTGTCGACTAAATGGGTATTTGAATAGTCTCTCCTCGTCCGTCTCGCGTTTCCCTTTATAATATAAATGTCCGGCTCTTGTTCTTCACTCATTCAATCTGTGTTGTGTTGAGTGATTTGGCGTGCGCCAATCGGAACCCGATTAAACGTCCGCACTCCGCCACCCTTCACACTATTTACTACTACTTCAAACTCATTTCGGTCGCCTCGATTAAACCGACACGAGCCCCCCATTCTCATTCCATCCCTTCTCAATCGCACTCGATATTATTTACAAATTAAGTTCGGGAAATGAGTGTGAAAAACGGAGCGAACTTTGAGGGGCCGCAACCGAGCCGAAAGCGCGACAAGTTGGGGGTTAATGAGCTTGCAGCTAGCTTAGGGGATCTATTTTGCGTTGAGGGTTGCTTTATCAACGGTATGTCAAAACAGGACCAGCTGGACCAAGTCTTGCCAACAGGTCCGGCTTTATTTTAGCTCATGAGTAGATCCAAAAGAATTGAAAATTTGCCAAGAAATATAAACGATATCTAAGATCCCTTTAGGCAATTCAAGAGCCTTTTAATCTGACTATTTATGCCAGGGAAATCTTTTTTCTCCATCACAAAACCAATGAGCTATATCAAGTTTTTTAAACCGGATTTATTTAAAGGAAAACGTAAAAACATTGTAAAAAACTCTCTTCAGTAGTAGTTTAAGCTAATACTGGTAGTTCTAAAGACATCAGCATTTAATTTACTAGGACTACGCTACATAAACGTTTTCCTCTGCTCTATGCCTATCTTCCCCTTAAAAATTCTCTCATTACCGTAACCAGTCATCTTCCCACTCCTCACCCCAAATTAACGCCCATACCCATCAATTTTGCCGCCTAATCGAATACTAATAAAGTGGATCATCTCAAAGGCCGTGCAACATAATGGTGGGCGGAGCGGCGGAATTAGCCTAATCATCACTTGTCCTTGGCCGCAACAGATCGCATGGTAATTTGCGGTGCGGGAAAACGGAGACATTTGGGGCGGAGGGGGAAATCAATGAGGATCTGGGCAAGTGTAAACAGCGGAGAGAGTGAGGGCGCGATGAGAGACGGGAGAGAGAAAAGAAAATGCAAAATGAGAGGAGGAAAGTTAGGGAGACTGCCAAATTAAGGAAAATTTAGAGTGATAATGATGATTACTGTATGAAATAAGAGTTGAATCATATTTCAAATGCGACAGTAAGAAAGCGTTATTGACGTATTTTACACAACATTTCGTAGCAAAATCATCAAGATCTTACACTAGACAAAAAGAGTAAAAATTTATACAAAAAATGCCTAATATAGGGTCAGATCGCTAGCTAGAGTATCAAAAATGCCTTCTGAATTCATAGTACACCATGAAAATATCTTTATTTTCTGCTAAAGCAAGAAATAATAAAAAATTTGTACCGTCATATACATAGTATTTTTTATATATGAATGTACTAAAATAAGAATGCTTGAAGTCCTATCTTCCCTATATACCTCATTCACCATAACCTTAACCATCAGTCTCACCTCCAGCACCCAATTCTTCCACATTATCCATCAATTACTCCTCTCAACTCGGAATCTTCAAACCCCTCCCTGATTTCCCGGCGCCTGTCATCGCCGATCTACCTCAAACCCCCAGCCCCACCCCATGCCTAATATATTTTCATTTTCGCAAATTACCGTAGGCGACAAAACGCTTCGATTTTTGTTTCGAATCCCCTGCAGTTCTGCTGACAAAAAAGGAGATTATTTTCAAGGTCTTATTATATTGAATGCAAGCGTCGATCGCCTGAATACACTCTTTTGATTGACTATTAATGTTATTATATTAAGCCCCCCGTAACTTGTGAAACCGACGGAGAAAAGGGGGGAATTATGAAAAATGGGTTCAGCGCACCGTGCAGGGATCAACAAGGTTTGATCGCACGGTGCGGAGCGACGAGATCAATGAAATTTGAAGACGGTCGTCAAGGACATTTGTTGGCGACGCTTTTGCACGGTACATGAATTTTGAATTTGAACCCTGCACTGTGCAATAAGCAAGGTTTTTCGGGCGCACAGTGCGAAGAAGTTTTTTGACAATTGCGCTGTGCAAAAGGAAGATGCTAAAGAAAAATGATTCGAAAATCGATAAAAAAGTTCAGTAGCCTGCATTTACCATGTATCACCAATTTATTGCAACTGCACAGTGCAAAAACGAAAATTCTTTAAACCGCACAGTGCAAGCCAAAATTTTAGATTTTGCGCTTTGCGGAACATACCGGTTGCGATAAATTTCTTGTAAGACCCAAGAATTTGTACCTACCTGAACCACCCATGTCGTATTTTACCATTTCATCCCATTTACAAAAATTGATTTTTCTTTTCGCACAGTGCAGTCCGAAATTTTTGATTTTTTTGAACTGTGAGCCCAAAGTCAACGCCCAAAACAAGTCTGGAATTTACCTCAGCAGCCCAACTCACTTTTCTCTTCCTGCCATCCATAGTGATTACAAAATTTTTCGCGAATAACTCCGGAGTTTCCCTCGTTTTAGCCCCGAGGCGTATTAATTGAATTTCCATTCAATTAGTAATCAGCCAAATGATCACCGCTTTCAATAATTTCTCATTCCATTCATTATAAGGCGCTGAGGAATTATGGAGGGTCCTATTATGAAGCATTATCGCCAAAGTTCATTATGCGGGTTTGAAGAGGCTAGTATAATGTACCGGGATTTCGAAATTGAGCTTACAAAACCACTTGAAATGTTAAATTAGGTGAGGCAAGGGTCTTTGTGGAGTAATAGGAGAAAGTAAATTTATCATACAAGCCTTTTTTGACATCACAAAGCAAAAAACGGAACAAAAATCAGAAAAAAAGTTTGTTTTCGAAATTTGATCCTCTAAATTATTTCCACCGCACTGCTTAAGCTAAAAGAGATATCAATATGAAATTAACAACTAATATTCTTCATTGCCTCAGCTATCAAACCCACAAGACGGCCTAAAAATACCAAGCCTACTGTTCTAAATATTCGCCATTCTTCTCGACCACCTTCATTTAACCTAAACCAACTTCAAACCCCCAAAAGACCTCAAAAAATCCTATTTCCCAAAAAAGATCTTGCTTTTTCAAGCCCCATACAAAACAAATATTAAACTGAAATTAATCTTGGGCGATTGATTTGAGCAAAAGACCGAGAAAAAGTAATTTTTTCGCCCTCCCTTCAAATGCCATCCAATGCCTTCGCGGCGCTACTGTAATGGGGGATCAAAAAGTAATAAAAAACAACAAAACTCAGTGAATCAACCATATTATGGGTGAAGGAAAAGTGGAGGGAACGGCGGCGCGTCTTCAGTTTTAAATTGAGTAATCAGAAGAGTCGGCAAAAAGGGACGTAAAATTGGGATTTTTTTGGGAATTTGAAAGAAAAAAGTGTGTAACAAAAAATTTATGGTAATTAAAATTGCTTAAAAAGTAATATGAGGACAAATTTAGATCATTATATGGCATTTGTCATGTTTTATGACAAAAAAAATTCTAGTCACCTCTTGCCATACCCAAAAATCTACTCTTTCTAAGGCTGAAACGCCTTTTCAAAGCTACCTGACTAATTTTTTAACAACTAATTTCCCGTAAAAATCATAGCCAACACTTCAAAAATAAAAAATCTCGTTTTCAAACCAACCTTTTCATTATCGACCAGATCCCCAATTGGCTTCTGTGGAATGCCTCCGGGCTGTTCGGAGACAGGCTTACTCGCGTCGATCTCTCCACACTTGACCAGCTCATTCAATCGATTCATCCGGTTCTGATGCCCCACCGAACGAAGATGAATGTCCAAAGTGGAGCCTTGAGAGTAATTCAGTTTACAGACATTGCATTTGTAAGGTTTGGGCTTGTCGGAAGGCGATTCTCGGTCTTCCGAGGAGCGTTGGAGAAGCTGCATCACCTAGAAATGCTTTGTAAAATACGATTTGGTTACCTAATCCATTTAAAAAATTGGTGTATGTGTATGTCCTAAGGGCAACTTAAAAATAAATTTTTGGAAAAGCAAGAAGATAGTATAGAAATGTTGTGTACAAAATGGTACACTGCTAGCCACTTTTTTCTGAAAGTTTTAACAAGAATTTTGGTCGCAAAAATTTGAACACAAAATGAAAAAAGTAGCGTGGTTACTGCCCTGAAGGCTTAACACAAAAATTATTTTTTTAGCATGTCGAGAGGACAAAGCACGGAGTATATTAAGCGATTTTCAAACTATTCTTGCTTATATAAACACAAGTTATAGCTGTCCAAAACGGAACCATCAGATTTATCGAGACAAGATGCAAAAAAGTCATGTCACCGATGCCTTAAGGGAGTTTTTAGAAAAATCTTTTTACGTTATTGAAATGATGCTCTATAGTTTACCCACACAAGATTCTAGGGCATTAGCGATAATGTAAAAGTTGCGGCACTGAAAAGAAAGTTTAGAGATCAGTCAAAAAGTTTTGAACAAAAAAAGCAAGGTAAAATACGCTTGGTCCAGATAACGGTTACATAAAAGTAAATGCTAATGGAGAGGCTACTCAGATACTAAGTTTGCTTATATTGCTTATAGACATCGCAGCCATCACTATGTCTCCAAACTACTCCTACAACCCACCTTTTCATTCAGCTGCAGCTTGTTCGGCTGATCCTCCAAGAATTGCTTGGTTCGATTCAAGTGCTCCACACTTCCCAAATGACTATCCAGACCTTGTTTGTCCCCAAAAGTTGCAGAGCACAGTTCACATTTCAGTTCGGAGTGCTCATCTTGTTGATGCTGAAGAAGGAGCAACACCGAGGAGAAGGTTCTGGTGCAGTTGGGGCACTTGTGATTCACACGGAAAGAGTGGGTCAGTTCGTGGGACTTGAGCTGTTCCCCGTGCTTGAAGACCAAAGGACAATGGGCACAGCGATGACGGTACAGGCCGACGATCTCTTTGCTGCAAAGTTAAAGTAAAATTTTTGAAAAATACGTCATCGTGACATGTTTTTTTTAAAATACGATTATTGTTCCTTTTCCTGTCTTTGTATACATATATCAGAATATGCGTCAACATTTTGGACTTTTTAAAAATTTCCAGAAAATCCGTCATGATGACAGCTTTTTAAAGTAACCGAAAATGCAAAAAAAGTATTACAATAGTGTCAAAAAACCTTTAAATATCAAAATTATCCAAAAATTAGCCCCGATGACACATTTTCTAAAAAATATGTCATTATGACATATTTTTTGGAATTTTGTAAAATCGCTCAAAATCGGTGTACAATCGCTTGAAAACTCATACTGAGTCCAAAATAACTTGTAAATCACCCTAAAAATCCTCTATTTCCCCCCAATTCCCCAGCCATCTGGTCCCCCCTTGCCAGAACAGACGGCTCCCAAGTTGGAGGCCGTCATACCCCCGCCAAACCGCGAGGAGTCATTTAGCGCCAAAGCACTGTATTATTCAAATTATTCAAATCAGTCGGTGCGCAATGAAAGAGAAAAGAAATGGAAAAGTGTCAATGGGGGCCTCAAATGCTAATTAAGTGGAGTCATTCGATTAAGCGGCTTGGGTCGGGCACGAAAGCCGGGACAATTGAAATGTCAAATCGGGTTGTGAGGGCTTGAAATACAGTAATTTAGATGTTTTTTTGATTTTGAGGGAATTTTGAAATTTCCAAAAAATATGTCATCATGATGGATTTTTTTTCATAATGGAAGCAAAATCGATGAAATAGCAGCATAACTCTGAATTTCGATAATTTAAATTCTTTTGAGGCTCTAAGCAAGAGATTTAAAAAATTTTGGGTCCCACCACGAAAACTTGCAATGACAGAATTTTAGGAAAAAACAGATAAAAATTGAAAACGCCACGAATTTAGAGCAAAGTCAGTAAAAAATCAAGTTTGCATCTTTCAAAATGTCATGGTAAAATACGCTCTGAGGCTCTGGGACTTTTAAAAGTATAACATTCATTAAAAAACACTGAGATTCCAAACTTACCCAGAGGCAGAGATGGGAATCGAAGCCATCAGCTCTTCGGCCACTTCGTCAGCAATGTTGTGAGCGTCGAGGAGGTGGGATTTCAGCGGGGTGTTCGGCTTACGGGTGCACAAAGGGCATGGCCGGGGATCGGAGGGACTGGAGTGATCGCCGGCCTTTTCGTGGGACTGCAGCTGCTCGAGGGTTGCTGAAAATGTGGATGGTAAAATACGGATTCTATACAGGGTGTTTCAAGAAATTTGGAACAAATGACTTGCTTATATCTTTGTGTTCTTTGAAGCTATCAACGAATTTCTTTTTGCTACTAAAAATTGACAGCGTGCGTTTTTAGAATCTCAAAAAAATTTTTTTTTCGTCGGCGGAGGGCCCATTTCTCGGCGGAGAAAATTAGGGCCTTTTTTAAAAATCACAGCGTATTATATGGCGGAAACGCCGTTGCAACGGCTGAAATCAAGTTTACGTAATACCTCCGTCGATTTTACGGTATGCATTTTTTTGTTTTTGATTTTACGCGCACCGCGGAGGCGCGGCGGAGACTTCAGATTTCGGCGGACGTTATTTTGGGCCTTCGGCTGTTGCAATTCATGTTGGAAAAGAGGTTGGGGTGATTTTTTGTTGTCATCCGATGCACAGAAGGCAAAAATTTCGTGCTTTTTTTCCCCGGCGGAGGATTCGGCGGAGGCTTTATCAAAGGGTCAAAGCTGTCTTACGAGTCCGGGAAAAATCTCAGCTACAAGAATCCATCAGAGCAGCATTGTCTTTCAAAGATTTTTGGTTTTTTTTGGTCCGGCGGACAAATCGGCGGAGTTTTGTTTTTACCCTTTGATAAAGCCTCCGCCGACTCCTCCGCCGGGGATAAAAAGCACGAAATTTTTGCCATCTGTGCATGGGATGACAACAAAAAATCACCCAAACCTCCTTTTCCAACATGAATTGCAAAAGCCGAAGGCCCAAAACGACGTCCGCCGAAATCTGAGGTCTCCGCCGCGCATCCGCGGAAGTGCGTAAAATCGAAAACGCAAAAAATGCATACCGTAAAATCGATGGGGGTATTACGTAAACTTGATTTCAGCCGTTGCAACGGCGTTTCCGCCATGTAATACGCTGTGATTTTTAAAAAAGGCCCTAATTTTCTCCGCCGAGAAATGGGCCCTCCGCCGACGAAAAAAAAATTTTTTTGAGATTCTAAAAACGCACGCTGTCAATTTTTAGTAGCAAAAAGAAATTCGTTGATAGCTTCAAAGAACACAAAGATATAAGCAAGTCATTTGTTCCAAATTTCTTGAAACACCCTGTACTTTGCTCTGAATTTTCAAAATTCCGAAAAAGTGGCCATTATGACAAAAATTTCCAAAAAATACGTCATCATGACGCATTTTGAGAAATAAAATTGTAAATAATTGTAAAATACGTGTTGTCCATTCATTAATTCATATCCCAAAAATTTGCATAATATTCCAAATTTCCAAAAAATCCGTCATCATGACGCATTTTTTGAACCCCCAAAAATCACCCCAAACCACATGGTTCCTCGAATTTATGCCCCCAGGCATCCAGACAGCCCCTGAAAAGTGTGCTCAGACCAATTACTCCCCAGAATTTATCGTAATTTCCTCCGCCCTTCCCCCCTCGCCCCTCATTGGTAAATTCATCCGCCTCTAATGGAGTGGGTTTCCGTTTAATTTCCCCCCGCACGGGTTGAGTTACACTCCGAATGTTTTTCGAAATTCCGTTGCCGGAAAACAAATTTTCCGCCCATTTGTCGAGCCAAAAATTTTGGTCGCGACTTTTGGAAAAGTTTTGTAAAAAAGCTGAAATTTAGGTGTATTTTAAGATTTGCAAAAAATTGTTGTAGCCTAAAAGCATTTATTTCGACCAGTTGTGAACTATTTGCAAGATTTTTTTTGTCAATTCCGACAAAAAATTAATTTTTTGGGTCCCGCCACGAAAACCTGATAACTTGAGAAATCGCTCGGAATAGGTTCTAAAATACAATTAGAAGCCTCTAAATTCATTTACAACAATTTTTATATCCCTTTTACAGTATCGCTTTACTATTTTGGCTATAGAAATAGTGGACTACTTACAAGAAAAAAAGGTTTGTAAAAAAGTAAAAAATAGAGTAAAATGCGGCTAAAATGGTCTCAAATCATCCCTCATAGCTCAAGGAATTTTTTTGAATACCTTTTTGCTCAGTAATTACTGTAATTTTCCAAAAAATACTAATTTTTTTGGCATGCCAATTTACCCCCTTCTTTAGATCCCAATTATTTCCCATTTTCCCGAAATTACAGTAATATATAGCTCTCTCAGCTCCTCTCCCACAAGTCGACCCCCTCGCCCCTCCTAAGTATTGACTTTGCGAAATTAAAAAACTCGCCGAAACTCTGAAAAGTGGAATTCTTTCTAATCCGGCCTGAGGGGCCGGCCCATATCGGATTTCGGTTCGAACCTAAGGAGCCGGCCTATTTAAATAAATTTTAAATTTCCTGTGCCTTTCCTTGATCTCATCAACTCGGCCTGAAACCTAATATTGGCCCGAGGGCAAGAGGCCGGGAAGGGGTCAAATTTTGGAGGAAAAGGTGAGATGAGGAGGGATTAAATTAATAAACACTACGGAAAATCAGAAGAGTCTTTTATGGAGCGTATTTTAAATATGATTTTGCTAAAATGCGAAGGTGTTTTTGTTGATTTCCAGAGGAAAATTTGAAGGTTTTGTCAAAAATTTGAGATTTTTGCGAATTTACCAATTTTAAAGCCAAATTCAACAGGTAAAATACGTCTTTGGATCGATTGGTATGATTAGATATGTTGTGGATATCAACTTTACAAATTATCAATGACATTTTATTCACAAAAAATCCGATTTTTTTGGATTTTTCTAAAAATTTCTGCATTTTTCCCGTAATTTCAGATGAAAACCGAAAAATCCTCCCCCGTATTTTACCCCAATCCATCAAATTAAGCATATTTTTTTATTTTTATCCAATTTTTTTGAAAAAATCGAAATTTTTTTTTTTTAATTTATATGTTCAAAAGTAAAATAACAAGACATGTGGCCTGAAATTAGTCCTAGCCCTTGTCCGGACGTATTTTACAAACAATTTATTTCCCAATTATCTCCCCAAAAATGAAGAGAAATCAACTTTGCGGCCAAAGTCGGCGAATGTTTTTGGGGCCTGTGATTAGGCAGTTTTTAATTTATTACAAAAACAGATCGAAGACGAGTGCACAAAAAATGATGGAATTTGGATTCGGAGAAGAAACACAACGCTGAATGAATATGAAATCAAAACGGAGAAAAGTTTTAAAAAATCCGGCCAAAATCCGATTTTTTTTATAAAATTTCAGGGAAAAATCGGCGGAATTCTCAAAAAATTTTCACAAATTTTATGCCCCGGGGCTACGGTAACTTTTAAGGAAAAAAAATTTTGCACGGTGCAGTCGGAAAAATAAATTTTTTTGCACTGTGCGGAAATTTTAATTTTGCAAAAATCGCAAAGTTCAGTATAATTTCGAAACAAATATTTCGCAATAAAAATAGTTACATTTTTCACTACTAATACTACTAATTTTAATTTTCAAAGCTACTGTAAATTTTGAGAAAAAAAAGCAAAAATAGTTTTTCGCACCGTGCAGTCGAAAAAATAAAATTTGATTGCACTGTGCAAAAATAAAAACTTTTTGAAAATCGCAACTTGTTGCTTAGCTCCAAAAATCCATCTAAACTAATCTAATCGAGGTCGGAGGGTAAATTAACACTCGTTTTCCCAATGAAAGACGGAAATCGAAACCGAATTGACAAATAATTGAGACAAAGGACGCGAGAAAAACGAGTAAATCAAACTGGTGGATAAATAGTAGTCGTAGTATGTCTTGGGTTCAAAGGTAAACAGAACGCTATGACAACAAAAATTTAATTGGCTCCGGTTTTTCGTTTTTTACAGAGAAAGTTTATTCTCGCCAATATTCTTTCAACATAATTTCGAAAACTTACAAAAACCTCATTTTTCCAATAAAAAATCGGTGAAGATGACAGAAAATTTGATAGTAGGCAACCGGTTCTTTCGCATAGGAATGATTAAACCGAGAGTTGAGACATTTACCGAGGCAAAAGAATCGAATATTACGGCCTTATTACGCATCGAGTCCTGGGAAAAGGAAATCAAAAAAACTAAGCCGATCGAGATCAAAACAGATGAATATGAGTAATTAAATGGGTAGTAGAGGGTGTAAAGTTTTTAAGGAGTATGTATTTGTAAAGGTATTGGCCACTTTAGTTAGTAAAAATCCCATTTTTTATAACTTTGTGGAAAATTTTTGAATCTTTGATGGTCAAGTATAATATAATTTTTTGGGCTCATCGTAAAAGCTGGAATTCTGCTGCTTAGAAATAGTAGACATAATTGCATGGCGCGTATTTTAAAATGAAAACCAAGCCTTCAAACCTTTGCGATCAGTAGCGACAAGGCTTTGAAGTTTAACCGATTTTTCTCATCAAAAATTTAAAAAAATTTGTTTAACTCAAAAACTAATTAAGACATGACAAAAAATACTGTCACCATTAGTCCCCCGAGTCACTGTGCTTCTAAAAAAACTACAAACACCCCGAAAACATGTCAAACTTTTATAAAAAATCCCGTTTTCCCTTGATCCCAAGCCTAATTCATCTCCAATCAGCCGGGTCTAATTAATTAGCACCGGCCCTGAGGACATAGACATAAAAAATTAATTTTGTTCGTTTTTTCGGGTCCCGTTCGATCGGAGCGCCCGGTTCGGATTTTATAAATCAAAATCCCCCGTTTCTTCGGGCGGCCAAAATTTATTTTTATTACGGCCCGATCCAAGATGCAGATAATTGGCGTAATTAATGGCGATGGGCAAAGTGTAAAACGCTGTCGTTCAAAAGCACGCTGGATTACGTTTAAGATGATCCATATGGGGTGATTTTTATTGATTTTTTAGGGAGAAAATTTTGAAAAAAATCAAAAAAGTCTATGAAAATTTTTGCTTTTTTATCCTGAAATGGATGAAAAATTATGTGAATTCTGTAAAAAATATAAATCAGAGACTATTTGTAGAGCCCTCAAATTTATTTTAAACCAAAAATTATACCGTAAATTTAAGCTTTTTAGATAAAAAAAAAGTAAAAAATTACGGGAAAACCAGCATTTTCCACAAAAAACCTGCAGGCAAACATTTTAAAAAATAACTCAGAATTAATCTTGAAGTGACAACGCCGTATTTTACATCAAAAAACAGTATGCGAAGATTGATAAATAGCGTGAAAAAGTTAAAAAATCATCATTTTCCCTTTGAAAACGGCGAAAAACTGCCATAAATAAAAATAAACCCCTTAGGCGATCTTAAAATTATTTCAGAATTACAGTATACCCTCTATAACAACTAATTACCTTCAATCTTTGCAAAATAAATTTCCAATTTCCCCTCAAATCCTCGAATACAGAAGCCGGCGGTCCCGTGAAAAGCCCCTTCCAAACTCCATTTCCCCCCGCTCGTTTCATACCTTTCCCAGCCCCCAACGGTATCACATTATATTGTCACAAACGTAGAATTCATTCCATTCACTTAGGGTTTTGTGTTTTTTGTTTCTCACGAGAGAAAATTCATAAAGAAACAAATCAAGAGTGGGGGGAGAAGGTTGAGTCAGAAGACCCGGAAAACCGCCGAAGCAAACGCCTGTAATTAGCCGATTCAAAGGGCGGCTGACTACGGTATTTTTGTGGAAAATAAGGGGCATTCAATTGCAATTTGGAGCAAAAAATTTGGAAAAAATGGGAATTTAAGGGAAAAATTGTAAAATTACGTTAAATTTAGGGGAAATCTGAAGTTTAAAAGACGATTTTTGGCTCGCTGCGTCAGCCCGTAATGGACCCGGGACATAGGAAAAAATCGATTTTGAGTTTCTTCCATAAAAATGACCGTCGACATGTGCTAAGGAAAAGCGAACAACAGTTTTTCTCAATTCTGCCCGGAAGGCATAAATTTGCTTAAATTTGTCTTTTTTGGAATTTTCGACCTGGTGACGTCATAGAAAGAGCAAATCACCCAAAATTCTGCTTGTACACGTTTTCGACCATTGGGAATTCATTTTTTTGAAAATTAAGTCTCTCAGATTACTGTAACATAGGCATATTGTAATCCGGTCGATAAAAATCGACCGTAACTCCTTCGTATCAAAAATCCCACAGGATTTTATTTCAGATTCGGAATCAGCATAAAATTCTGCATATTATACACATAATATGAGGTCATAACTCCAGGGGGGGAGATCGCGTAGTATATTGGATTTTGGCAAAAATTACGTTTGAAAGGTCGCGGGTTCGATCCCCGCTTGGTGCAAATATTGAAAACACAGCGGAAATCGCGTTTAATGGATACCTGAGGGTTATGTGAGATACAATAAGCAATTTTAAACATTAATGCATATCTAATTGCGATTAAAACTGATTTTATATAATTTTTGGAGACTGAATATGCAAAAAATGAAACTGCTTCAAACCGCTTGAAATTGGCAACACTTATTCTAGGGTCAATTGTAAGAAACTTTTGTGTTAACTTTTTTCGGTAGATCACCGTACCATGGATTATTGTAACATTAAACATGATTTGGTTTTTCGTGTACCACATGGCGCAGAAAAGTCGGACTGTCGTCATTGTGCTCAGAATGGTTAAGAAAGAGTTTTCTTGTGTACAAAAAAAATTTTATGGCTGTACCGTTTGGAATGGCCGAGTTATTTGACGCACTTTCACCATTTGATTATGACATCAAGACGCGTTACAATTAAGGGCGAATTTTCTTTCAGATATAGAAAGTGGATCTTTTCGCTGTCTAAAGCGACTAATTAAAACGATTTATTATTTTATGCAAGAATTTTGAAGAAAATTGCTGTTAATCAGGACACGTTTAATGCTACAGTAATCCATAGTACGGTGATCTACCGAAAAAAGTTAACACAAAAGTTTCTTACAATTGACCCTAGAATAAGTGTTGCCAATTTCAAGCGGTTTGAAGCAGTTTCATTTTTTGCATATTCAGTCTCCAAAAATTATATAAAATCAGTTTTAATCGCAATTAGATACGCATTAATGTTTAAAATTGCTTATTGTATCTCACATAACCCTCAGGTATCCATTAAACGCGATTTCCGCTGTGTTTTCAATATTTGCACCAAGCGGGGATCGAACCCGCGACCTTTCAAACGTAATTTTTGCCAAAATCCAATATACTACGCGATCTCCCCCCTGGAGTTATGACCTCACATTATGTGTATAATATGCAGAATTTTATGCTGATTCCGAATCTGAAATAAAATCCTGTGGGATTTTTGATACGAAGGAGTTACGGTCGATTTTTATCGACCGGATTACAATATGCCTATGTTACAGTAATCTGAGAGACTTAATTTTCAAAAAAATGAATTCCCAATGGTCGAAAACATATACAAGCAAAATTTTGGGTGATTTGCTCTTTCTATGACGTCACCAGGTCGAAAATTCCAAAAAAGACAAATTTAAGCAAATTTATGCCTTCCGGGCAGAATTGAGAAAAACTGTTGTTCGCTTTTCCTTAGCACATGTCGACGGTCATTTTTATGCAAAAAACCCAAAATCGATTTTTTCCTATGTCCACCGCTGACGCAGCGAGCCAAAAATCGTCTTTTAAAAAGATAAAATTGTAATTACAGTAGTCTCTAAGACATTGGCGTTCTAGTAAAAGCAATTTTCACCAAATTCCACGGCTAAAATACGGAAAAAATCAAAAAATTTCAAAAATTTAGACTAATTTTTTCTCCAAAAATATCAAAATTTTTTGTTTGTAAAATACGTCCCATTTATGGACTCCAGCATTCCACACATTCTAAGACAAAAATCACCCTAAAAAATTACAGTAGCCCCTTCGAAAACGGCCCAAAACAGCATCTCAGACCATTAATTTTGAGTGTTTGGCGGATTTCGAAAAAAAGACGGCGTCCGTCGCGTGGATTTTAATTGGCCATTAATCTAGGCCCCAAGTCGCTTCCAAAACCTGGGATCGGGCGGACGGAATCTCCGAATGCTTTGACTGATGAATCTCTAATCCGATTTCTGGATTCATTCTTGAGAAATTTTGGGAAAAAGGCTTCATTAAACATGGTTTACCGTTAGGAAAAAAAATCGAAATTCAAAAATCTAACAGAATTTAATATGAGGTTTCATATATAAAGTAGATTGGAGAAGTTCCTGGAACCGTCGCCTCAGGGCGAGCGACTCAAAAAAAGGCCCGATATAGTTCAAAAAATAAAAAAATCATTGAAAAAAGTTATTTTTCAGCAAAAAAATCTATGATTTTTTTTATTTCCGAATAGAATGGAGCTCTGTCTTAAAGATACAATACATTTTTCCCTGTATTAGACTTCAATACCCTCAGGGAAAATGAAAATTTAACATTTAGTCATCAAATTTTGAATCTTCAAAATTATGCAAATTTTTTAAAATTTTGAACATCGCATAAGCCCTATCTTAAAAACCATTTTCAGACCTTTAATTTGACACCAAGCCCAAAAAATTCCGTCTAATTGGAATTGCGCTACAACCAAAACCCTTCTATCCTCCCAAATTTCGGCAAAAAAAGCGAATTTGTGTAAAAATTAGTCTCATCGCGGAATTAAAATGAATTTTTTTCCCATCCGCCGATCTAATCAGCCCTCTTCGGCCAAGATCGATCGCTTTTCACCCATTTTCCCCTTGTTCAGCCGTTTTTTGGACACTTAATTAAAGCGCGAATCTCAAAAGGGACCCACCCGTCAAAAAGTCGCAGTCCTTGCAGTAGAACGCCACTTCGCCCATACTCATCAGTCGCTCCGCATTCGCCGTCCACTCGGCGTTGGAGGTGCTGGGTTCGGGGGCTGAAATTTTGAAAGGATTAGCGATTTTTTAGGAAGAAAAAATTTCACGAAAATGCACTGTGCGGAGGAAAAAAGACAAAATTGACTGCACTGTGCAGTCAGAAGACTAATATTGACTGCACTGTGCGCGAAATTCAAGAAACTGCACAGTGCAAAAAATCAAAATTTTCGCACTGTGCGGAAGAAATAAGACAAAAAACGCAGACTGCACTGTGCAATCAAAAGAAAAGGTTTACTGCACTGTGCAAAGTAAGTAAAGTTACGACACTGCACTGTGCAAAGAATATCGATTTTTTGCACAGTGCAGAGGGAATGCGACAAAGAAAGATTGGTTGCACTGTGCAGTCCAAAGAAAAACTCTTCATTGCACTGTGCAAGGTGCAATTTTGCTTTTTGCACAGTGCAAAGCGCTCCCTTCAGACTGCACCGTGCAAAATCAAAAGAAATCTTTCAATTGCACAGTGCGCTCAGTTCTCCAGAAATCTTTCCTTTGCACGGTGCAATCAATTTCGCAATTTCATCACCGCACGGTGCAATGAACCCGCTCTTCAATCAATCGCGGCTCCCCGTTGTTTTTGCCGCTCTTCTCACGTCGCATTTGCATTTTGATTTGCGACAACATGCGCAAAAAACGTTGGTGTTTGTTTTGCGACAAAAAGTGTCACTTTCGTTTCCCGCGCACCGTGCGGATGATGAAAAGACTGCGCCGCGACAACTCATTCCCCAAATTGGAAGTGAGTGCGGGAAAGGCGCGGCGGAATTGGGAACCAATCTGCTGTTGTCGCCGCCGCTTTTTGATCGCCCTGACTTCCCACCGTGCGACGGGAAATCAAGAGACTCGGGAATGCACTGTGCGATGAAAAACTTGATGAGGAAATGCACTGTGCGCGCGGGAAACGGGCGACATTTGGAAACGTTTTTTGCACTGAGCGATTTAAACTTTGGTTTTGCACGGTGCAGCGGGCCCAAAAGTTTGTCGCGATGAAGATGAAACCGCGACAAAACAAAATTCACAGTGCAAGTGTGAAAAAAAGCAAAATGCACTGTGCACCCAGCAAAAAATATTTTGCACTGTGCAATTTCATTTTTTCCTTGAAACCCAAAAATTGGCCGCACTGTGCATCTGTCGCTTCCTTTTTGCTTGTCGCAAATCATCTCACGTCACAAATTTTTCTCATTGGAGTCAAAAAAGAGGCGACATCAAGTGTTTTGCGACATTTTTTTGATTCATTGCTCATTTGGGGCTTGCGGGAAATGGAAAGCGACGTGCTCATTGCACTGTGCGGAGAATGAAATTGGAAGTGTTTTGCACAGTGCAATTGAAAAAACAAGGAAATTCGCACAGTGCTAGGGGTGAAATTGGATTGCACAGTGCGGAAAAAATGAAAATAAGCTTTTTGCACCGTGCAAAAGACAAAAGTCAAAATTTTAGAAAAAATTGTCATGATGACGGATTTTTTTAACATTATTACTTTGTAATGTGTAAAAATTTTGCATGTGCGTCGCACAGTGCAACATTTTTTGAATTCTGCACAGTGCAATAAGACTCAATATTTTCTGCACGGTGCAAAACTTTCAAACTTCCAAAAACTTGGTCATAATGACGGAATTTAAAAGAATAAAAATTAGGGACCCCATTTAAATCGAATTCAAAGCGAAATATTCAAATTGAAGCGGAGAAAAAAGTCGAATTGACTTGGCCGAATGTTCTCATTAAGGCCGACTTTTTTCGTCGTTCCGTGATTAATGTCCGCGACCGCTCCGACCCATAACGACAGGCAGGTCCCATTAATTTCGAGAGCGATGATAAATGTTAATCAATTCGAATAAATTTGAATAATTCGGTTCGGGAGCGCTTTATTTACACTGTAATTCCAACGGGAATTCGGATAAAAAAGCAAGTTTTATGGGGAAAATATGGACAAATTAGTGTAAAAATGTTTTTATGATTTTTCAGGCTCTTCTGGACTTTCATAAAAAAATTTTATTGTGCACCGTGCGAAGAAATTCTCGTTGCACTGTGCAAACATGTTTTTGGATCAAAAAAGAAGTCTGCACGGTGCGAACGAACCTTTTTTTCTTTTTGCACTGTGCAGTTTGCAAAACCTGAAATTTTACGCACCGTGCATTTTATTTTCTGGTCTCATTGTGCAACAGCGACAAAAAAGAAAACTTTTTGCACCGTGCATCTGCATTTTTTGTTTTCGCACGGTGCAAACAGGTTATTGGATCAAAAAAAAGTCTGCACGGTCCGAACGAACCTGTTTTCCCTCTGCACTGTGCAGTTTGCAAAACCTGAAATTTTACGCACCGTGCATTTCATTTCCTTGTTTCATTGGGCACAAGCGACAAAAAAGAAAACTTTTTGCACCGTGCATACGGACTTTTTGGTTTTGCACAGTGCAAAACCCCTTTTCGGTTCAGGAAAGCTTTTGCACTGTGCAGTGACTAAACCCTGAAATTTTACGCACCGTGCATTTCGTTTTTATTCTTCATTGTGCGGCAGCGACAAGAAAGAAATTTTTGCACCGTGCATTTGCATTTTTTTGTTTTTGCACAGTGCAAACATGTTTTTGGTTCAAAAAAGAAGTCTGCACTGTGCAGTTTGATTTCACAGAAAATAACTAAAAATTTTCTGCACTGTGCGGTGGGAAATTTTTGAAAATTGTAAAATACGGTTAGTAAAGTTTTTTGAATGACATACAAGCCATCCTCAAGTTAAAATACAACGAAAAACAAAAAAAAATTCGAAAATCCGACCCAAATCACAATTTTCTCTCTCTAATTTCGCAAGCGATCAAAAATCGGCACCGCGAAGATACGGTAGGCCCTTTTCGCCGTGAGGCAAATAAATTTCGGGGCTATGAGAATGAGTAAACTCATTCCATTCCCATCGAATTCATAAAAATTTCGGGGGAAAAAATTTCCGGCGCGAAACCCAATACGGGCCCTCAGGGCTACCTGAAAATTGGGCCCTCGGCCGATGGGCCGGGGATGTATTATTTGTTTTCGCGGCGCACAAAAATATTTTATATACCCCTTAGGCGGCCTGTAATTGAGATGAAAATGGGGGGAAGGCTGGGAAAATGGGATTGCGTAATGAGAAAGGAAATGGCCGCAGGTACTCGGCATGACATGCTCAGCGTTTGCAAATGGGATTTGAGGTTACTGTAACAAGGATGAGAGAAATATTGTAAAATCGAAATTGGCGTATTTTAAACATTCAACATATGTTGCTACTACTCGAAAATCATGGCCTTATATTTTTTACGACATCTAGAGAACAATCTTCAAAATTTGCTTCCATCTTCCGCAGTCATGATGATCAATTTTAATACGTCGTCATGACACATTTAAATTTGTCATCGTATTATGTCGTTTTATAAAATTGATAGCAAAGTCATATGTCATCGCACAAAAAATTATTTTTTTTTTATTTGTCCGCCGGCTATTTCAAGCAATGTCATAACGACATAATAAAATACGTCATCATGACATCATTTTTTCTTTACTAAAGGCATGATTAAAACCTGAAATTAGCTGTAGAATGTCACTGACACTGCAACAAAATTTTTTCAAACCCAAGATTTCACAAAATTCCGTCATAATGACACATTTTTCAGACATTTTAATGTCAAATTTCAAACGTCAAAACTCACACTAAAACTCCATCCCGCAATTTCTAATTACAGTACCCTCTCATTACACACCTCCAATCCTCATTTCGCACCCTCCTTGGCCAATTAGCGGCCGAAAGACGGGCCGAAAGGAAGAGGCATCGCCCCGAAATGCCCTCAGGCCCCAAACCTGCCGCCAAATGAGGACACATAAGTGGAGAAGGCCAATGAGGAGGGGAGTGAGAGAGGCGTGGAGGCACTTGTTGGCCAATTTCGGACCGCGGCCGAAGACGGAGAAACCGCCGGCCGGTCTCCATTTAAATAAAGTTCAAATAATCATTTCATGTGGAAGTTATTGGGCCGGATGCGAAATTATTATGGGCGGCGAGAAGAAAATTGGCCCACGGGACAATCCGCATAATGGCCAATTTTGCTTCCGCCATTATTGGGAGGGTCGGTCGGGATGACCGATTTTTTGGCGTCATGATGACGCTTTTTTTTTGGAAGCTGGAAAATCGTTTTAACTGTCGCAAGAGCTTCTTCAGACTACAGAAAATCCGTGTTTTCAAAAAAAAATTTATCCAGAAATTACCTAAAAAGTGTCATTATGACCGTCGTCATGACATCTTTTTAGACTGTAATGCTGATGTAGTAAAATTGCAATTGCCTTTTTATGACCTTCTGATACTAACAAAATTTTTATATAGCCCTAACAAGGCAATATTCAGCAGTCATAATGACGGATTTTTTGTGTCATCATGACACTACCAAATTTGATAGTTTTGACAAAAATTTTAATTCCCACATAAAAATAAGCTCACAAAATCAACAAAAATATTTTTTGTCTACGGCTATCATTCCCGAAAATACGGCAACGATGAATGACCATCAAATTTGCATACATCCCATAAATCAAAAGCCGCGAAACTTCGATAACCCGAAAGTTGGGGCCGGCGGGGAAATAACTTTAACAGCCCAGACCAAAGAAGGGATAGCGCTCCTTCTTGAATAATGAGACTCATTGAGGCCTTTGACGAATGACGGCCAATTGAGGGAAACTCTCCGATTTTGTGAAGGAATTTCCGAAGCCACGGACACAATTGTGATGTAGAAAGAGAGATTGGGAAATGAGGAGGATCTGGAGATGTTTTTGAGATGGTATTTTTGGCGTTTAGAGGGAAAAACAAAGAAAAAATAGAAAATTTTGTGATTTTTAGTGGGTTTCAGGGGAAAACTCCGAAAATTATGCAATTATGTTGATAAAGCTATTACTGTAAAGACAAATAGAGATGTTAGGAGGCTTTAGACAGCATAATCATGAAAGAAATATATCTAAATTACTGTGATTTTCTAAAAAATGTCCGAAAAAATTGAATTTTTGTAATTTTCTTGGCAAAAATGGCTATAAGATGCAGTAAACTAGTCCGACTACTTTCCATTGCAATGCTAAACTTTTCTATCTACATTGTGCAAGCCATTTTTTATCGCATACCAACATTTTCCTTGTCTAAAAATAGAAAGTTCCCAAAAAACATCCTCATTCCCCAAAAGGCATTACTAATTACAGTAATCCTGGTGTCCACATCCATTCCAAAGCCCTAAAAATGCTTCAGAATCCCACACCATCCCTCACAGCGCACGCCGGAGGTCATGGGGCGGGCGCGAAATTAGTCAGAACAAATTTTTGAAACGGAATTCTTAAATGAGTGACGGCGGCCGAAGATGCGGCCGAGGGATAAGCGGCGGAGGCGATTCATCAAAAATCAAGCAGCGATTCGCGGCGGCCTCCGGGGACTGCCAAGTTTTTAGAGGCGTCGAAATTAACGAGGTCTTTGTTTGGGCGTTTCGTTCGTTCGGCCGGCCGCGCCACTCTCCCCCCACACCCCTCCATTCCCGCAATTGTGGGCCACGAAAAACGTCTCTAGAACAAGATGTGTGCGGCTGATTGTGACATGGAGGCCCGGGTCGGGTGCTGTGATTAGGCGCCGAGATAAGCGCGCGATAATTATGCGGCGGGCCCGAGAAATTACAAATTTGTGGCCCGAAGCGGGGACGGTCACGCGAATGCGGGGTACGGCCACGTTGGAGGGGAAGAGCAAAAAGAAATGGGCCTAATTAGCTTTGTGCTAAACTCAAAATTAAGTTAAATTTGGAAGATTTTTGAAAAAATCCGGCCCACAGAGTGCAGCCGAAAGATTGGCCAAATTGGCCCAAATTTTGGTCGCTACTGTGTAAAAAAGTGCTCGGTTTGCAACAAGCGGTCTGTGGAGATGCAAATGGCAAAAAGAAAGTCGAATAAATACGTCATCATGACCTAATTTTTGAACAAAATTTTTAAAAAGTCTCTGAAAGCTAAAATGGCCAAAAAATTGTGAAATATGCAAATTTTTGGAAGAAAAAAACTTGAAGAGATTGACAAATCAGATAGTCATCACCATCAGCTTTTCAAAAAATAAATATTCCATCATGATGACAATTTTTTTGGACAAACAACCAAAATTTTGAATTTTTGAAATTTTATGCAAATTCTCTTCAAAATCGAGCCTAATTAACCGCGTAAATTAGCTTATTCCTCACTTCACGCCCTCTTCATATCCCCTAAGGCTAAATCCACATGCCTAATTAAGCCAATTTGCGGGAAAACTTCAATTTTCTAAGACGTTTTCAAAGCTTTTCGACCAATTTTCGCTTTTCATCCCCACAACGAGGCCTAAAGCAACTCACACCACTAATTACCGTACCCCGTCTTGGCCGTCAAATGAGGCGAATGAGCGGCCGGCCGAAGAGCGCTTGTAATGACGGCCCCCAACACCTTTTTTGGGGGGCCGCGGCCGGAACCACGGCCGCGGCTTCATTAGAGCGGAACACGGTCTTCCATAATGGCCCCGAGGGCATGGCGCCGCTCTTCGCACCTTTCCCCGCTTCAAGTTGAGAAAATGGCATCTAATGGGCGGAATGAAGGCGCAGAGAGTGCGGGGAATGCGGAGAGAGGCCAGAGAAATTAGCGGCCGTTGGCAGGGAGAGGTCTTTCAAATTCAGGACAATGCGCTTAATTGCATAAAAGGCCCAATAATAATCTATTATAAGGTTTTCGGGATTAGGGAAAATTTTTGAGTCTTCGCCTGAGGGGAAGTTATGTTGTATTAAGAAGAATCGAGGTTAAAAACAGGTCTTGAAGTAAGCAAGAGGTCTAAAAATCTTCCTTTTACAGTATTTACAAGGCTTAAGGCCATACAAAATTCAAATTTTTGAATATCCCGCCAAATTTTGGCATTGTGTTTCAAGTCGATTTTTCGACCAAAAACTATCAGAAATTGTAGATACAGTAAGAATAAGATCTAAAAAAGTAATTTGGTTTACTGTAACAAACATGAATTTTTAATTTTTGGTCAAAAATAAGAAAAAATTTAGCAAAACCCGGAAGAATTCAATGTTTTTCAGAAAAAAATCATCAGAAAAGGAACTGCCATCAAAGTTTCCTTCATATTCTTTGCCCTGGAGACCTGTCACCTCACCGCACCTCTTTCCCAACTCAATGAAATAATAATTTTCATAATTTCGGCACAGTTGGAGGCCCGAAAAGGAGTGAACCGTTAATAAAAGGCGAATTAAAGGGGACGACTCCTGTGAAGACGAAGAAGGGCGTGGAGTGAATAATCAATTGCGACGAGGTGAGACCAACAATCGGCAAACTGTGATTACTTTTTGGAAAAAATGGGGATGGAAGCTGATTGGATGACAAATGAATGAAAACGATTAGTGAGGAAAAAAGGGCGGGGCTAGAAGACGGCAATGAACTTGCAAAAATGAGTAGAGTAAGGGTCATGGGGCTACTGTAGAAAGGTAGGAGATCTTGTCAAAAAATGGGAAGATAAAATTTTTTTTAATTTTAAGATAATTTATGTAAATTTTAATCAAAAATTATTTGTAAAATACGTTTATTTGAACCTAGCGATTCAGAATAAAGCAAATTATTTTACAAATCGGTCATTATGACGCATTTTTTGGATACGAAAATTTTAAATTTTAAGATAATTTATGCAAATTTTAATCAAAAATTATTTGTAAAATACGTTTTATAGGTCCTCTGTGGAATAAACTAAGCTACTTGAGAAATCGATCACTATGACGCATTTTTTGGAAGAAATTTGAAAAAACAACAATTTTTGTTGAATTTTACAGGGTGCGGCAATTTTTCGGCCGGATTTGAATTGGCTATAACTTTTTTAGTTTTTATCCGAATGTTAAAATTCTTTTTTTCCCTGAATCCTCAGACAACCCCATTTTGTTTAATACCAAATACGTTATATATACAGGGACCTAGTTCATAGTTATTGGCCTTTCGGTCGTTTTCTCTGCTTTTTCGGCGTGTGTGAAAATCGCCAGAAAAAATGACTTTTTTTACGAATTTTGTCGTAAAAAGTTTCATGCCTGTTCATGCCATGGAGAATACAGTTTCCACAAAAAATCAGCTATCTCCGCACAAAACTAGGGAAGATATAGCCAAAAAGTTTTTCTGTGTGACCACTCATGTGCCCTCCTGACAGCAAAGAATCGTTGAATATCTTGGTCGCCCCTGAAAGGTGCGGGCTGAAACTTTCAGAAATTGATGTGTGGCCTATGTCCGGCCCATGTGCAAAATTTAAAGAAAATCTGAGAGTCGCACTAGGGGTAGTTCCATTGTCAGCTATGAAAATTAGAGCTTTTTCTTTGTCTCGTATTTTTACTGTAGTCTAATGAACGGGTATAACATACTTGGTATTAAACAAAATGGGGTTGTCTATGGATTCAGGGAAAAAAAGAATTTTAACATTTTCCCAAAAACTAAAAAAGTTATGGCCAATTAAAATCCGGCCGAAAAATTGCCGCACCCTGTATTTAAAAATTAGGCAAATTTAAGCTCAAAATAAGTTGAAATAGGCCAGAAAAACGTCTGTAATTAATCAGAGTACCATAGCGATAAATTATCAATCGTAAAATAGACATAAAATTAGGCTAAAACACAAAAAATTACTTTTTTTTACAAAAAAGTGCCATTTTGAGAAGAAATTGAATTTTTACAAATTTTTGTGTGGTAAAAGCTAATTTAAGTGTGTCAAAAAACCTTCTAGGAGTCCATAATATCGACCACTTTCATCGAAATCGCTTTGATTTACCTTGAACTTCCCTCTTTTTTCATTACAGTACGCTTCGAAAATTCGGATGACTAAAATAATTTGAAAAGAACTCTCGGAAAATGCCAACCCATTTTGGGATCCATTCACAGATTATGCGATTAGTTCTGGAATGGGGATTCACCTTGAATACGGTCTGAATCACAATGAGGCGTCAGTTCGGATTAGACGGAGGCGCTTATTGGATGGGGAAATTGGAAAAAGAATTGAAAGAGAAGTTGGGAAGAGGGGAGAGAATGAAATGGAGTGGTTTTGGATGACTTGATCAATTGGGGAATCAAAATAAACTTGAATTAAAGGAGTTTTAAAGTGGTAAAATATGAAAAAAACTAAAAATGTTACCATTTTTAAAGAAAAAGAAAAGAAAAAAATCGGTCAAAAAATATAAATTTTAGATGTGAAATAAGACAAAAGGACATGTAAAATACGAAACACGATTTTTGACCTACCTTTATCTTCATTGTTGCTTGTTTGAGAGCATTGGGGAATGTGGGCTGAAATTTTTATTTTTTACTTTGTTTCGAACCTAAACATAGTCAAAACTCCCGTATTTTACCAAAAAATTTTTAGTTCAAATAAATTCTTCATTGCACAGTGCAGTTTTCTTAAATTTTAATTTTGCACCGTGCAAAAAAAAAAAATTTTTTTTGCACCGTGCAGACATAAAATTTAGTTCCATTGCACCGTGCAACGAGCAAATTTCAGAATCAGTAACTGCCTAGTTAAAAAAAATTTTTTTTAATGTGTAAGCACTTTAAATTTTCAAAAATTTTCAAACAAAACTTCTGCACAGTGCAAAATTGCTAAAAAACCAAAAAATCAAAAATCTTACCAGCTGCGAGGCCTTGATCATCAAAACTTTCTCCACAATTTACACATTCATATTCGATGCCTCCGGGGTTATTTTGAGACGAAATCAGAGCCGACCCCCTTCGGCCTGGCGATGGATTTGCGCTGGCGGAGTGGAGCATCAGAACTGAGGCGCGATGCAGGTGGATTCGGCTGTCAATGTGCTCGCGAAGACTTGTAGTGCTGAAATTTTCACTTGAATACCTTTTAAAAAAATTTTTTTTGCAATTTTTTTAAAATATGCAAATTTTTGAAAAAAAAATAATTTGCGAAATTTTTTTGAGTGGCAGGAAAATCATCCGTATTTTACCCCGAAAAGTCAAAAATTACTCGCTCTTGAAAAGTGAATGACAAAAAGTAATGGAGACAAATACGATTGTTTGTGTCTATGCCCGTATTTAGGCAGTTCACTCCGGTTAATGTTTACCGTTCTTCTTTTTCTGGAGACCCGCCGCGTATTTTTGGGAATACTCGCGGCTAATTTGCGGGTTAAATATTGAGCGCTAATTCACGGAAACGACGCACAGTGCAGAAAAAACGATTTTTTGATTTTGCACTGTGCGGCGAAATGGATGTGTGAATTATAATAAAAACACTGAACAAAGCGGCGTATTTTATATTTGACAAAATTTTTGTCGCTACCGTGCACCTGTCAAAAAAATATTTTATATTTCTACCCCATCTGCACTGTGCAAAACATGTTTTTGAAAATTTGCACAGTGCGGAAAAATTTAATTTTACTGCGCGATGCAGAAAATCGAAAAAAATAAAAATACCAATAAAATATAAACTAGACATGATGACAAGAAAAATGACGTCATTTTTTGATAATAAATTGAAACTGGCACAGTGAAAAATCTATTTTTGTTTCCGCACAGTGCATTGAATAAAAAAGGGAAAATTGCACCGTGCGACAGTAAAATAAAAAAATTAGAATTTTTCTGAATTTTCTACAGAGTCAAAGGCTGCATTCCGCACCGTATTTTACCTATAAACTCTCTTCTGCACCGTGCAAAATCTGCTTTTCCAATTTTCGCACCGTGCAATTCAAAATTTCTCCTTTTCTGCGCTTACGAAACCAAATTTCGCAGAATGACACTCAAGTCCATCCCAATAAACGTATCTCTTTACCGCATCGGCATAAACAAAGGATCTCGATTCGTTTCCAAGCCCCCTCTTTTACCTGCATAAAAGATCTCGTATGCCCTTTTCGGGGAGGGCCTGGGAAATGAAATCGAGACCGGAATATTAAAGCATGTAATGTTATAATAATGAGAACACAATTTGTAATCGAATCCGCTGCAGGTAATTATCAAATTACCGTCCGAAGAATGGGAGGCGAATTTGAAATTTGTAGGATGGATTTTTCATACGACAATATTTATTTTTTGTAATAAATTTAAAAGGTTCTGTGTTAACTATAGCGTATTTTAAAAGTTTCTAAGCTAAAAAATTTTTTTTGATGAATTAGATATTAAATTTTATTAAATTTGCACTAAAAGTTGCGACGTATTTAAAAAAAAATTTTTTACAAAAATTCCATTTTTATCAAAAAAAAATTTTTTTTTTCATAAATTACATTTTCATCAAAAAAAATTTTTTTTTTACAAAAATTCCATTTTTATCAAAAAAAATTTTTTTTTTCAAAAATTACATTTTCATCAAAAAAATTTTTTTTTTTCAAAAATTGCATTTTTGCCAAAAAAAATGTTTTTTTTTCAAAAATTTCATTTTTATCAAAAAAAAAATTTTTTTTTCAAAAATTTCATTTTTACAAAAAAAATTATTTTTTGTCGCAAATTTCACCACAAATTTCCCTTGCAACTCGCCACAAATCCCTCAAAAACCCCTCCTTACCAGGTCAAGATCTCCTGACAAACCCCACACCTCACTTGGACCGTAGTCTTGGCGGCGGCCAGTCGATTCATCAGCGAGTTCGGAGTGATTGGGCCCGAGTTTTCGCGCATGTGATTTATCTGCAAAAAATGGGCGATTAAAATTAATTAAATTCGAGGAAACGGGCAATTAATTAATTTGTGGGCACACCTGTTCCTAGAAGAGGGTAAAACAAACAAAAAAATGTTGCGCCCAAAAAAGGTGAGGGCAAAAATTGGGAATTTGCGAAGTCAGATGGGTACTGAGATTGATTTCGACCTAAAAAATCGAGGAAAACCGGTTTTGTTTTCGGACTTTTTGCGTTGAAAATAAAAAAGATGATAGTTACTGTAAGATTAGTCTATAAAAAATATATTCTTTTGTCTTAAAATACGACAAAAATTCGAAAAAAGACCTTCTCCCCATTTCGAATTAAAGTCATCTCTTTTTTCCTTAATTTTCACACCCTAGATCGGCCAAATCTGGCCAAGATGTGTTCAATAGAACCCCCCTCTCAGCGTGACCCCTTCGTCACCTCGTCTTCCGGTTTCTCCGACGCCAATTGGCCTTTTACGGCCGAGATTAAATTCGCTCATTAGAAGAAAGGGCCAAGAAAAAAGGGGCCAAGCGACAGGTTTGTTTGGCCAAGGGATTTCGCACTTGTCGGCTTTTATGGATCCGAGGGTACCCTAATAAATAAAACTGTGTTTGGAAAAAATGGAGGATAGCTGGGTTGTAAAATACGGCATGACAAAAACAATCTTTATTTTTCGATCAATTTCCAAAAATCTTTCCAAAAGATGAAATTACAGTAATCCAAAGCTTCTAAAAATTAATAAAACTGAAGAGTGATCAAGGATAAGTAAATTACCCCCATACAATGAAGGTAATCCCTCTAATCCGGTCGATTCTCACCCGTCCAAACCTGTTGACCCCGATTAAGCGCGGAAAGCCAAAATAAAAAGTGTTTTTCAAGGCGATTATAATTACCAGGTACCCGACTTGAGGTGAGAATTAAATAAAAAGTTGTAGCTCATCTTATAAGGCGGGGTAAAATACGTCGTTGAAGTCCAAGCTTGTAAAAATTTGGAATTTAAATTCATTTTCATACCAGATGGGGCTAACTCAACAAAACGATTATTTTATGTAAATTTAACAAAATTATGTAGAAACAAAACGTTCTAAGGTGTGAAAAAATGCGCGATCTTTAACCTTAAAACATATCTTTTGTTAAATTTTTTTTGTAACATCGAGGGAATGTAATTTTTTGTCATTAATCGATATTAGCATAAAAAATTTAAAAAATTGGTTGTATTTTTGTAAACTACGCTCTGCAAAGCCCACGCCTCACTTCACAATCTACAGAATGCTCCTCCGTTTTAATACAGTACCCGTTTCCTTACCTTGGCCACCATTCTTCTAATTTCCTGCCATTAAATTCCCATAAACACCGAAAAAACTTTTTTTTCTTTCTCTTTTCCGATTTCAAATACCAATTCCACTGTCTATTATGTCGGGCTTGTGAGAACAGCGGGCCAAGATCAAACACAGTGCATGCAGAATGGAGGAAAGTTACATAAAGAGCCGCTTTCGCGCATCTGAATGGCCAAATTTGAATGGGGAAAGTGCCGTGAAAAGGGGCGACGATGGGGTTCACAGGCGGGGGGTTACGTAATCGGAAGGGCTTGAGAATCCTAGTTTTCGGATTTACAAACAGTAATTCAAATAGTTTTTGAGGAAAAAATTTAATTTTTACTTTCCCGCCAAAGTTTGGCATTGTGTTTCAGGGGTGTAAAAAGGAATAAAGTCATCAGGAAAAGAGAAGAATAGTGTAAAATACGTTTCATCATAGCACCATGGTAATTTTTAAAGTTAAGAAATTTGAATTTTGAACTCGCAAAATCAAAAAATTCAAAAATTCAAAAAAAAATGCAAAAATGAGGCTCAATATTAAAGACTATTATTATATACGCCTTGTTTTAAAAAACCATGACAATCTTACTCGTATTTTACAAACTTCATTTTCTCCTGTCCTAAAAGAAAACAGCAAAAAAATTCCCAGAAATGACTCCCAAAACTTTCCCATTCAAAACAAGAAAAAAACTTGGCCGCCGAAGCCGAAAGCCGTAATAAATCTGATTCGGAGTCAATTAGCGGGACAAAGGAGGCGCTCATTTACTGCGGCGGCGTCTAATTTTTATGGGCCGCGGAATGGAAATTAGTGAACAGCGAAAAATCAAGTTTTTTGGCCACAACTTTGGCCAAAATTACCTTTTGATCACAAAATTCCTATCATACGAAAGGCAACCACTTCAGCTATCATACAAAAAAAGAAGCTTGTCAACGTTAACCATAGTTTTAAAGTTATGACCAAAACAAACTGACCAACTGCACTCTTTGGATGTGTTTGTCCGTCTTGGTGTGGAGTTGAAAATTGGCCTTAAGATTCGTATTGTATGGGCATAAATGGCAATGGTAGAAACCGTTGATCATGCTGACATCGCCGACGGTCAAATTGTTGCGGTCGCGGTCAAGATGGTCCAAGAGTTCGGCCGAGGAATTGGTCCGGAAATTGTTGCAGATAAGGCACGAAAAGACCTTGTCAGAGGACATTTCCAGCGGATTCATAGGGGTTTGTTGACCTGCAGATATTGTATTTTAGATAAATTCCAGCGATGGCAAAAAAAAAAATTTATTTAAATTCATAACTCTGCCAAAGTTTGACATCATATTTCAAGACAAACAAATTGCGTTCTTTGTAAAATACGGGTGTCGGCAAAGTGATATTACAAAAACCCAGTTTATAAATTAAATTTCAGCTTCTTCGCTAGCTTTTGGCATTCTGTTTCAAGCTGAAGAGTGCCGCAAAAATTCTTGGCATTCCGTTTCAAGGTGTCAAAAAATAAGTAAAATACGAAGGGCACTTCTCCATAATATTATAGTTTTAACAACATTTTTTGTTAAAAAGCTCCTAAATACACCAAGATTTATTTCAAAATTCAAATTTCCCGCCAACTCTGGCATTCTGTCTCAACCCCCAAAACCTCCCTTAAGACCCTCAAAAAATCTCACCAATATTGCTGGGCATCTCCTGCACCGCATGCAAATGCTTATCCGACTGCATGTGAATACTCAGATTGCCCTTCGTGGTCGTACTGTATTTACAGAGCTCGCAGCGATACGGCTTATATCCACAAGAGTAACTTTCTCCCCTTGCAAGCTTGGGATGAGCCTGATTCTGCAAGCAGAAGATGCATTTTACATCCAAATCGTTGTGTTTCTCCTTCATGTGAATCTCCAGGGTCTCTTGGTACTTGTAATGCCAGTTACACTTGGGGCATTTCAGGGTTTTGGAGCTGTTCCGTTGGACGAATGGAGCGTTCTGGGGGAATTGTTGGGCTCTCATGAACTTCATTAGCTCTGAAATAAAGTTTTGGTTATGTTTGAGAAAAAAAATCAAATTTTAATTTTTCCGCCAATCCTTGGCATTGTGTTTTTACATTGAAACTAATTGAGAAAATAGGGTCGTTAAGCGTATTTTGCTATTAACTTCTATTTCCAAGCCTCTAATCCAACCGGTTGCAACCGTCAATTTCAAAAATTCTAATTCCAGCCAATTCTTGGCATTCTGTTTTAACCCCAAATCCCGCCGTAAAAATTTCAAAAAAATGTCATTCTATCCAACTTACCTCCATTCAGCATCTGCTGACTCATATTCATCATGAACTGACTGGCCATACTACTGCTGGCCATCTCTTCCGGTTTGCTGTACCCGTTGAGGATGGTGTGATCACTGATCATTAGAGTCAAATCACCGGTCTCTTGGACCTGAACCGAATGCGTCTGATCACAGTGGGCGAGGAAATCGGCTTGCTCAAGAAATCTGGAGGAGCATTGCACACAAAAATTGAACTGAAATTGGGAATATTTCATTTGGTTTTTGCAGAGTGCAAAATGAAGAAGTAAAAATTCGTCTGCACAGTGCAGAATCGATCATTTCTAAAAATATCGCTGTGCAACGAAGAAAGATACCTTCAAAAAATCTGACCATAAATATTGAGAAAAATTAAGTCATCGTAACCTACTTTCCAGACAAAAGTTTTAAGTAAGCTGCACAGTGCAAAATGAGAAATTAGTCTGCACAGTGCAGAATTGATCATTTCAAAAAATATGCACTGTGCAAAGCAGAGAGATGCCCTCAGGAAATCTGACAAAATTTTTTGAAAACATTAAGCCATCGTGACAGATTTTCTGGACAAAAGTTTCGAGTAAACTGCACAGTGCAAAATGAAAAATTAAAAATTAGTCTGCACAGTGCAGAATCAGCAATTTCAAAAAATTTGCAGTGTGCAAAGAAGAACGATACCTTCAAAGAATCAGACAATATTTTATGAAAAAAATTAAGTCATCATGACAGATTTTCTGGATAAAACTTGCGAGTAAACGGCACGGTGCAAAATTTCTTGAAATTTGCTCGGTGCAAAAGAACTATCAGACAAATTTTTAATATGAAAACTCACACTATGACTTCTTGCTGGAAAATTGTTGGCTCCAGATTTATCGACCCAAAACTCTTGAACTGAATGATCTGCAAATTGCACACTGATCTTCTTGATGAGATCTGGCCGAAGCGAGGGCTCAAATGGACTGCAGTTTTCGAGCTCAGAGATAATCAAAACATCGTCTTTCTGACTGAATGTGACCCGGTTTATCTGAAAAAAATTTGAAGCAAATACGATGAAATTATTTTATCTTTTGTAAAATACGCCATATCGTTTTGAGGATTTCAAAACATTACTTTTAACAGGAGAAAAACGTACATTTTTTGCTAATTAATCCCCACACCACCGAAAAAATTAAAATTCCCTAAACCCGGCGTAAAAATTAGCTCTCGAATAAACAAATCCAAGTCGGGAACGCCGACGTAATAATAAACTACTAATTAACGAAGGCGAGCCGAAGGGAAAGGCGCAAAAGTGGTTCACAAACAACGAATCCGACTCACATTTTGACTGGAACTTGAGCTGGACAACTGTTGTGTCATACTACAATAAGAAGGACATCGACTTCTTGAATCAGTTCGAGTTTGAAGGCATTTTGAAAGAAAAGGTCTGAAAGTAAAGAATTGAAAGTCTATGTGGAAAAAATGGGGTAAAATACGTCGTGTTTCGGAATCACTCTTTCAAAAAACAATTTAAAATCACGGAAAAATATTATTTTTTGCAAAAAAACTTTAACAAAAAGAGTGGCCAAAGAGCGGCCGAATGTTATTTTGATGGGATAAACCGGGGATAAATGGAGATTTCAGATGCTTTAGACGATATTGAGACTATTTCTGGTCTAATTCTGACAAAATCTTTGTCTCAGACCAATTGGGTGACATTTTATACGAAAAATTTTGTTTTTTCAAAAGGTGTAAAACGTTTTATTTGGTGTCATATACAAAAATTTTGATACTAAAACTAAAGCAGAATTATTGAATTATTGCAATTTACAATTTTCCGGATAATTTGAGACCCCTATCCCATCTAATTACCGTATCTTCTCCTCTAAACACCCCATTCTTCCCACCTCATTTCCTCGGCCATCCTGGCCATTTCTCCAAAAAATTAGTGTCTCAGAAGAGGCAGAGCGGCATCCTTTCTTCTCTCCCTCTCCTTTCAATTCTTCACTCATTCGGCCGCCATTGGCCGCCCTTTCTAATCACCCTGTTTAACGCCCCGAAAAGGGGGCGGGGCCTGCGTCCGCGTCGCAAATTACGGTACTTTGCAAAGGTAATAAAAGTTGATGTGACAACGCGTTCGTACAATATGCCCTGGAGGTAATTTCGGGCCGGGTAATGGGGAGATCGGACCATCTCATAAATCATGTAATTCCACGGATAATACCGAGTAATATGGGGCCGCGGAAAGGATGGGAATTATCCGAGACGCGATAATAAGATGGTGTCAATGTATTCGCGGGAGAAAAGATGGCCAAACGAGAGCCGAGGAAAGGAAATATAAGGAAACATGGAAAAATTGGGAAATTTAGTCAAAAAATGACTTATTTTGATGGTCTACAGTGGAAAATAGAAATGTAAAGAGTATCATGAGGATTTTTAAAATACGTAAATCATAACTAATGAAGTCTATAAAGTGATGTCTAAAAAATGAAGTCTATAAAGCGCGCTTTTTTTTACAAAATCTCCTGGTTTCCCGCCAGAAAAAGATCTGTTTTTGAAATCTTTACCGCTGAAAAACTATTAAACAATTAAGATCAAAATCGGTATTTTTGAGAAGATAATTTCACCCACTTTTCTTGACTTGAACAGCAATTTCCGGTATCTCCAAAATCTACCGATATTTTTTGTCTCAAATTTAGGTGTCTTAAGGGTAGTATAAGGTCTGTAGACAAAAAATAATCGTTGAAACCTTGTCGCTAACTTTGTAAACATGACGAAAAGAACGTTGTGAACCAACACACTGTTATTTTTGGAGGAACAACGGCTCTTTGAACTGAGGATGGCAGTGATATTGTAGAGGACCAAATGATAGGGAGAAACTTAACTTTTTAGTGGTAACTTTTACCGGGACTGTCACAGAGTTAAGATTACGATTATATATAACCTTTGAGTATTTTACCAATGTTTTTACAAAATTTGAAGTATCTAGTTTTCTTTACTAACAAAAAATTATACATTTTTTAGATAGCTCGGGGAGAAAAGTCATTGTAAAAATTAGTGCATTTGGCGTATAAATTGTCCTTTAATTGTAGCAAAATTGCATTGAGGCTATTGTAAAAAGAAGTGTTACTATAACGAACATTATCTTTGAGATCTTAGAGCCTGACATTTGGCCAAAAGCAAGCGCCATATTGTTCGTTGAACAAAAATTTTAATAATGATTTCTCTCGATTTGTTATATGGAGATATCACTCAATCTCAGATCACTAAAAATACCCCAATCTTTAACCTACCGTATCCCCAATCCCCCTCCCATCCATCCCCATCCCTCGGCCTCTCCCTTTGATTTGTAATAATATGGAAAATAATAAACCAAATGTTCTAATCACATGCCTTCCGGGCCTCTCCCTCCCTTCGGCCCTCTCCCCGGGACAACCGGATTCTATGGCCACGATTAATTTTTTATTAGGCCCGTTTTGCCTGATATTTAAATATTATTTGGGCGCTATTATGAATGAATGGCCCTGAGGGCAGAGAGGCCCTCAGGTGTTTAGTAATTCGTCCGCCAAACTTTCCAGATTCGTCAAAAATTAATACGATTGCTGGCCGCTGGTTGGGCCGCCAATTTGAAGCGGAAGAAATGCAGAGGTCGGACATTAAAATTTGGCCGGCAATTGGAAAAAAATTGATGAAAAGTAGTGGAAAACCAAGAAAATTTTTTTAAATTTTTTTTCGGAAATTACAGTAATCACTTTTGTTTTTCTCGAAGCAATTTTTTGCAGAGTATATTTCGATTTTTTGCACTGTGAAAGAAATCCGCTAGCACAGTACAACCCAAAAATATTCTTCAGTTTGCACAGTGCAAGGAGTTGTCGCAAACTTTTTTTATTGCACTGCACGTCAAAGAAAAAGTGAAAAAACAAGGAACCTCGGACCATTGATTTTTGACGAAATGTCGCTGAATTATCGAGTCACAAATAAGCATGGCTGCAAACCGGGCCACCCCGGCCCGACCCGGGCCGCAGGCCCGGGCTTAAATCTCCAAGCCCGGCCCGGGCTTGGAAAATTTGGAAAGCCCGGCCCGGTTCGGCCCGGAAAATTTTTATACTAGGCTGGAAAGAAAGAAAGCCGACATGAAAGGAAAATTATGACAAATTTTTGCAAAATGTAAAGATAAATTTAGCAAACCCTAGGTACACAAGATTACTTTACGTTTTTTATCAGCATTGTGTTTGAAAAAATGAAAAATTATATCGAAAAAGCTTGTTTTTTCCTTTTTTCCGGGCAAAACTCAGATTTCAAAAAAACCGGGCCGGCCCGGGCCGGAAAATTTTGCCTAGTCACAAAAGAAAACTTTCTCAGAGAATTTCGAGAAAAATGTTTTTTCGAAGAGGAAAATAATTTTTCAAGCTCGATAATTCTGTGGCACTTCGCAAAAAATCAATGATCCGAGATTCCTTGTTTTTTCAATTTTCTGAAAGAATTGTTTTGACGTGCACTGTGCATTTTTTCTCATAGAATCGCGCACAGTGCGATAAAATGATATTTGAAAAAATTGCACAGTGCAATCGAAAACGTTTTGGTTTATTGCCTCTTTGCACTGTGCAATCAAAAAATTTTCCTCAACTTGCACAGTGCAAAGAGTTGTCGCAAATTTTTTTATTGCACTGTGCATTTCTCGTCTAAAATTGCGCACGGTGCAATAGAATTATCTTTGGGACGAATTGCACAGTGCAATTTAAAACATTTTCGACTCATTGCCTCGTTGCACTGTGCAATCAAAAAATTTTCTTCAATCTGCACAGTGCAACAATTTTTCGGCCGATAAAATCTGACGCACGTGCATTCTCTTCGCACAAACGATTGCACTGTGCAGTCAACTGTTCGAATTTCTCTGCACAGTGCATCAACAAAAAAAGAAGTAATTTCCCCAAATTGGCAACCTCTGAGCCTACTGTAATTTCCTCACTCATCCATCAATCCAATCAACATATTTAACCGCCCGAGGGCCTCAAAAACCCCTTTCCAACTCAACGCATCCTTGGCCAAAAATTAAATTTATTTGGCCATTGATTTTGGCCGTGCTCTCTTAAGCGGTGGCTAAAAACATTCGTCGACGAAATGCGAATTTAACTACGGTGTAATCCGATTTGCGGCACAGGGTCAAATGAGGGCCCAATTTATGCATAAGCCTTCATATAAACCCGGGGGCACTAAACTAATTTCTCGAGGCAAAAAGAGGCGCCACAAGTGGATTAGACAAAAACTTTTTTTTTCCGCTGCGAAATGACAACTTTTCAGGGCTGAAATTCGAAGTCGATTAGGTCCGCTTATCCAAATTTGGAGCACCGAAAATAAAGTTGAGAAGTGCACAGTGCGAAGAAATAAAATTTGAAATTTCGCACAGTGCAATTTTGAAAATGATAATTTGCACGGTGCAGGCAAATTTTTTGCGACAAGGCTTCTTCATCGCACAGTGCGGTCAAATTTTTGTTTTTTTGCGATTGCACGGTGCGGTCTATGTCGCGTTTTTTTTTGACAGGACTGTGCAGTTTTGTGACAAAAGTCCTGCTCAGTGCAAAAAGTGAGAAAATAAATTTTGCACTGTGCGGAAACAAAAATTTTCGATTGCACTGTGCAGATTGGGATTTCTTTGGGAAAATGGGCTGCACAGTGCAAATAAAAATTTTTTTTTAATTTCGTAAGATACAGCAAAAAATTATAGTAATGGAATGCGAGTGCAAAAAAAAATATAAAAAATCGACTGGTCGAAAATAAAAAATTTTTTTTTCACGAAAAATAAATTTTGTAAAATACGAAAATCAAAATGTAGTCGAACATATAGAATTTCTCAAAAATCGACTGGTCGAAACTAAAGAAAAAATTTTTGAATTTAAAAAAATAAAAAAAAGTAAATTTCCTCTCCAAGACCGGAGTAATCCAAACTAAATATGTAATCAAGCCGTGCGGGCATCCCCTCTCATAAACAAGCTCCTTAACTCCCCGCAAATTACGGGCTCGTTTCTCCGGCCAATTGGGCCCTAAGGGCATGCAGCAGTGGACTCGTCGAGATGGTAATTACCGTCTTCGGGGCCGCATTTTCAAAAATTCTATTTCGAATAACGAAATAAGTGGCGCGACAAGTTCATCAATTCCCTCGTTTTAACGGCCTTAAAAGGCGGCAAATTTGCGGTAAAAATGCAATTTCCCCTCAGGGCAGGAAGCTTGCGGTCTTTAAAAAATTTATTCGCCCATCAGAATTATTGAAATTTAATTTTGAAAATTTTTCGAAATTTTTTTGAAGTTTGAGTGAAAATTCCTAAGGGCAAAAAGCGAAAAGATCATAAGAAAGACTCTGTAGAGTTATAAAACTATGTTTT